GATCTATCTAATTTTGCTGATGAATTCACCATGTTTGCTGCTGCCAACTTCGACAACTCTCTATCCGTTATTACTGGAGACTTCAACACATCAGATTGCTCCTTTCTTGAAGCTCTTGGTCACACAAACATAGTCAAATTTCCCACTCGACTTGACAAAACACTCGATCTCGTTTTTACTAATGACGAAGGAGTATATGAAACACGTAGACGTTCACCGATACATAACTCCGATCACTGCATTGTCCGCGTTTTGCCAAAAATATACAGCAAAACACATATTAAAATCTTCTCACACCTGTCTACGAAAGCACAACAAAGATGCTACACATCTGACAACTTACTCAATCTAAGATGCATGTTAAAAGATACCAACTGGGATCTATTCTATGAAAGTACATTAGATGACTCAATCACCAATATAATGGATTATCTTAAGTTCTGCCTCGACATATGCTGTCCCAAACAAACACTGTTCAAACGCCTCGACCGCTTCTCGTCTCCCCATCTCAAACAACTTCGCAGGCAAAAAGAAATGTTATATAAATGCAAAGACAAGTTAGGACTTAAAAAGATTAATGCTCAAATCAAATCTGAAATCAAAAATCTTAATGCTATCTATAACCAAACACTTTTATCATGCAAATCTCCTAACAGCATGTGGAAATTTTTCAATGAAATTACTGGCAATAGTAAGCGATGTAATGTTTTTCCCTCTTGTGATGTTAATGCTCTTAATCTGTCTTTTATACGCTCTCCTTCTACTATAACCACTTCTAACGTTACCAATCTTGTAGCTGATAACTTCCAGGACTTCAATACTCTCGATGTTTTGAAATGTCTTAAAACTCTTAAGCCCTCACATAGTCTTGGCCCTGATGGCATACCTGCATATGTTCTAAAACAATGTGCAGATGCTTTATGTTCTCCTCTAACTAATATCCTAAATGCTTCTTTCTCCGAAAACGTTGTACCTGTTCCATGGAAAGACATTAAAATAGTCCCTGTCCCTAAACCTGGAAATAGCAAGAACGTAAAGTTCAGACCCATTGCCATCACTTCCCCGTTTCTAAAGCTCATGGAAAAACTAGTACTTCTTAAACTCGAACCCTCCCTTAAAAGCTTCGAAGACCCCAAACAATTTGCCTACAGACAGGGTAGGAGTACTTTAGACGCTGCAGCCGTCTTACACAACAGTATTGTCTCATCATTAGACAAAGGTGCCAAATATGTCCGCTGCACGTTTCTTGACTTCACTTCTGCTTTCGACTCTGTACCTAGAAGTCTCTTGCTAAATAAGCTCTCCATGACACAAACCGAGTCCTGGGTCACTAACTGGTTGCATTCCTACTTTTCAAACAGAATGCAGTACACCGTATACAAAGGCAATCCTCCTCTGCTGTGCTCACTGAAGCTGGTGTCCCCCAAGGTGCTGTACTCTCCCCACTTCTCTTTTCATTCTTTCTACATGACCTACCGTCTTCAAATGACATTAACTTTGTCAAATATGCTGATGACCTAACTGTATCTTTACCTGTCAAATGTCAAAGTGACTGCTCTAAACTAAATGGCTTCTTATCAGAAATTAGCCAATGGTCCAAGGAAAACGGTCTCACCTTAAACCCCTCCAAATGCCAAACAGTTAATTTCACCTTTAGGCATAAATCTGACCTAAACAAACTGGTTAGCACTCACGAGGTGTGCAACATAGATGGCACTGAAATAGAAACCAAGTCGGAAATTAAATACCTAGGCGTCACTCTATCTTCTGATCTTTCCTGGTCGTCTCATATCTTGACGATTTCCAAGAAAATATTCCGTCTTACCTTCTACATCAAGAAGTTAAGACATTCTGGTGTAACCCAACCCTTACTCCTACAATTTGTTAACTTCCGTATTTTTAATCTATGCAGAACTTTATTTATTGTTAATCTACTACCTGTCATTGAAACCTTGCTTCCTGAATAAGTAAAGGGAGTAACCTCTGTCAAATCTCTTGCGTTGATGTTGATTGATGCTGTTCATTGGTTATATTCATCGCCCCCCCCCCTGTCTTCTCCATGTTAACCTGACGTTATGTCTTCGCTGCCAGTGTGTGTTGGTTTTCGCCTGTTAGTAAGTCTTCAAGTTTGTGTGAAATTAGACGCGAATCATCCACTCGTGAAATCTAGATCATCTACAGTCTTCTTATCTGTGGTCCGGTGTATTCCTGTCTTCTCACTCACCACACACACAGTCTGACACATAATCCATTCCACTACAATTATTAATATCATCGGTGGTAAGAGGCAGACAGCCAGCTTGTCTCACTCCTTGTGTTGTGAATCAGCTGACACATGTCATTCTCAGATAGTTGTTGAATGAGTTTGACAAACAATTCTGACACGCCATAGGTTAATCAGTGCAATAGTGGTGTATTATAACCGCAGTGTAGAGCCACTGATGAGGAACTAACTGAAATGGAGTTCTACATTTCTTTGTGTATTTTTTTTGACAAAAATGAGGCACAATGCAGACAGATTGAATCTTACTCGTCAGTAGCTTTACCAACGGTGTTCACAAATACACAAACATATAAAAAAAGGGATAATTGAGGTAACTTCATTTATTCTGAAATAACCTCAAGGGAATATATCAAAAGGTATCACTGAAAACCTTCATAAATCATGTATTATTGTCATTCATCTAGTTTAAACTCTCTTTGTTATTTGACTAATTTCAATTCTAAATCACATAAAAAGGTAGCCTGCCTAACAGTGGTAATGTGGTGGGTGCTACTGATAAGACGTATCAGTAGTATATATACACATATAAAGAAATGTTCATCGACATTAAAAAAAAAACATCAAACAATAGGCAGATAGATTTGTTGTTAGGAAAAAGAAAATGATACAACGTCGTGGAGATACATGGGAAACGTGAAAGTAAGACAAAGAAATACAATATGAAGGAATGGTAGAAGTAGTATAACACGAAAGATCTGTGAAAATGGTGTGTTGTAGATGACGTGTACATAATTTGGCTATATACAGATACCAATTTCCAAATAAACATTCCTTTACTAGGTCTTTCGTCTCCTACCTCCTATGTATTCAAAATAGACAGTCTGGGCAACATTCGTCTTCATTATGGCCATCATAAATAGTCAATTATCTCAATAATAATTACCCGACTAAGCTCTCTTATCCAAACTTCCTGTTTATTATAATTATAATTACTATGTTTTTAATCCCTCTTTGCATTACGCAATGTTTATCTTGCAATTAATTATAATTGAAATTTCGACCGGAAATAATTCTCGACATTTCGCATCCTTTTGTCATACATCCACCAATATACAGCCCGGTTGATGACTTCTTTTTTCCTGCAATTGTCTTTTGTCCTATGGTCTCTGTGTAGTTGTTAGCTGACATACGATGGATCAGGTTGGAAAAGAGCCACTGAACTGAACTCAATAGATGCGTAACTACTCTGTTATTGGATGGAGGATTTCATCATAAACTGATACCAGTTGGAGAACCTTTGGAAACAAGCTGAGAGTACTGAACAGCTGTTTCGTCCCTCTAGTTTAGGACTCTTCAGGACCTCCCGGTTACAAGGCAAGCTTGTGTACCATTAAGCCACTGGGATCCGATTCATTGGCTCATAAATTCTTACTTCTACCAATTCGTGATTTAGCTGGACCCCAACCATTGCCGTAGGTGGGACATCCATCCTCACACATGACACCTGGATAGACCTCACTGGTAGTTATTCTAAGTACCTTTCCCTTATTACTACGATTATTATTGTTATTTTTATTACTGTTCTCACTCTGAATTGTTTCCGCTTGTCCCACTTGTCATTCAAAATTACTATTAACTTTTTATTTTTACAATATTTAATTCTATCTTATCAAATTCCACACCATGTTGTGTAACGTTTTTATATTCGCCTAGGAATCCTATAATTATGCACCTTCATCCCAACAACATCTAAACATCCATCGATCTTATGTATTATTCTATATATGACATTCATTGTTTTGCTACTTCACATCTGTGCGTCGGTGGCACAGTGGTTAGGATTCTCGACGACCATGCACATGGTCCGGGGTTCGAGCCCAAACCGGCGCACACCAGATATCTATGGTCGGCCTGCGAAATTTGGGCTACCGATATCATCACATGCTGAAAATTCCATACTTGTACCAAAAATACAGTGTGGAATCAAGCTGTTACCAAAAAAATAAAAAAAAATAACTATGAACATAATCACAAATATTGCATTTCATACTACTATTATTATTATTATTTCATGCATTCGCACCTATGATCTAATTGCCACACCGGATATAATTTCTTAAAAGCCATATGTGTGCACAGATACGATTGTACAGCTTGATAAGAAATTCGTTGTTGGTGAGAGGAGTCTCTAGCACCGCTGAACATTGTGTTGATAAAAAAAGACTCGTCTCTGTGTTTGTTTACACACACGAAGAAGACGACGACAAAGATATAGAGGATTTGGTGACAGGATTTCATCATGAGCTGACATTAGTCAGAGAACCATTGAAAAACCACCAGGGAGTACTGGACAGCTGTTTCGTCTTAGTCAGGGACTCTTCACCAGTACGCACCCATCACAACTGGGTTCGAACCCAGGACCTTCTGGCTACAAGGCGAGCTAGCTCGTAGACCATTAAGCCACTGGGATCCGACTCCTCAATGGCCAGCCCATGAATTCTAACTTCTGTCAATTCACGACACAGCGCAACCCCTAGCCCAATGTCTTCGGTGGCGAGTATTTGTCCTCACACCCGACCATGCTGCACCCTACCGCTCACAACTTCTCACTAGAACCACAGGCAACTAATTACCTACCTATCTGAATAAGTAGGTCCCAGGTAGCTTTCCAATGGTTCTCTAACTAATGTTAACTCATGATGAAGTCCTGTAACCAATCAATCAAATCCTTACAAACCAACACTTGAAAACAAGATTTTTCTCATAAAAAAACAAATCGATTCTTTCAATTGTTTTTATTCAAATACAAAATATATAAGATATATGAGAAATTAAAGAAAAAACAAAAGAATAACTGAAGTCATCATCATCATCACCATCATGAAATTCTATAGAAGTTAGCAATCATACAGATAACAGAGATAAGGCTTGAGGCTAAAGTATACGTTTTCGCTTTAGGTATGAGCACTCTTCAACCTGTTAGTAGTCCATGTAAGCGTTTGTACAGACAAACATTTGAAGAAATGAATAAATTCACACATGCAAAAAGCATTGTATGAGAAAAGATGACATCATCAATGTATTGCGACTCAATCTGTTGGAATCGATCACCGCCAGTATCGGGTATCATGTTCACACGCACACACACACACTGAGGGACTCGAACTCACACTGTGATTGCGGGAGGGGGTTAACGTGAACGTGCAATTTCAGCAAAATAATTTTGTAAATCATTCACTGTGAATTCAAGGCATATTCCTGAATCTGGATAACATTGTTGAATTAAATTACTAAAACGTAAACATTGAGTCATAAATTCTGTTTGTATTGAACGCCATACAACCTGACAGAGAGAAAGAAATAAAGAAAGAAGAAAAGGGGGTTTATAAGTGTCAAGTATAATGATGGTGAGTTTGAAATTTCGGCCCACCATCAGCATCTAACACCAAAAAACAACCTCCAACCATTGCATATTGCACAGACCTTTCTATTAATCAGTTGGTTTAAATCTATCAAGAAAATATGACCCCTGATAGTAGCATAATATTGATTACTCCGGCGAGTATTAAAAGGCACATTTACAACTTGCTGATATATATATATGGATTATGGAACTCGAAATTGAATTGAAGCACCTCAATTTCCCTAGGATTTAAGTTCCATATTCTGAGAAAATGTGTTTATTAGGTAGACTGATATGTATCCACATATATATATATGTGTGTATGGTGATCTCTCTTTCTGTTTGCTCTCTTAGTCTGTGACCACTTCACTTGTATGAACTTGTCTCCTTTAATAATGTGTATTCTCCTTATATTATATTATATATAATATGAGTGTTTGTTGACAGTCCGTTGCTTGGTGACATATATCCATATATGGTGGTTGTTGACATGTCTGCTATATTCGCTATGTATATATGGATCGACACTCCATTATAATTAGCCATTCATGTTAAGACTGTCTATTGATTTGTCCACACACTTGTTTGGACATTCATATATTTTCGCTGTCACACTCTTGTGTGACATTGATTCTCCTGGTGTTTTGGAAAATAGAAGTATCATCGCAAACCAGTGGTCTTCTGATTTCCGCCTTCTTGCGTCAGGACTATTAAATTCTCGACCAGTACATAACAATAATTTAGCGACGAGTACATAACATAGACACAAAGGCTTAATTTGAGAATTTATTCAACCATCCCATCAGTAAAGACAAACAAAATGGTCGGTTCATCAAATCACCTTCAAGGAATTCAACAGTCTAGAATCATGACTAAAGAGAACCTAAAAGTAATAAAACGTCGCCTAAGCAATGAACATATCATCATACTGTGATGAGATAAAGGTTAAGGCGTAATAGTGATGAACAAGGCTGACTAAATCCAAAACAAAATGGAGTCCGTTCTCTATGATAAATCGAAATTCAAGATTAATAATCAAACGAAGGATATAACAGATTCGATGTATAGTTTACCAAAGATACTTTCAGTGGTGAATACATCCTTCCCGAAAGTTGCTCGCTGGTCAACTGATAAGTAGGTTGGAACCTGTCAGACAACGACTAGCTAAAGATACTCTGGAAGACTCGTTCCAATTCCCCATTTCCATCCAACAAGGCTGAAAAAAATGTTTCTGAAGGTTCTAACTTTTCAAAACAAAGTGGTTCGGATAGCGATTAGACAAAACGCAGTTACCATCCTATTAGAAATTGTTTAAGCTATATTTTAGAAGGAGAGGGGTCTTTCTGTGGGAGAATTCGGACTGCTGGTGAATAGGGATGTTGCTTTGACATGACCAGCATGCTAACACAATGCTACCTCTCAGATCTGAAGGCGGGGTTAAAAAGTCTCGATCCCAAAAATTGTACATCCCTCTCACATTTTATCGGCGGCCCGCTTAAAACTTGGCCTATCAGCAACACCAAAAAACAACCTCCAATCATTGCATACTGCACAGATTTTCTCCTTTTATTTGGTTTAAATCTAGTAAAAATGTGACCTCAGATAGTAGCATATATTGATTACTCTGGTGAGTATTTAAACACGTTTATAACCTGCTGATTCGTGAGTTTCTACAGTCTTTGTTATATTTACCGATGACCAACGTTTCGAGCACAATTCATCATCACTACTCATAGTAGTCGTATCAAGATCAAGGCACCCCTAGTCACACAACTTTTTAACTTCCTTTATATAATTCCAACATTATTTCAATTCATCGCTTGACTTGATGATTGCTAGTAGTAGCGGTAGTGTCCATTTCCAAACGTCGGCCCTCAGCAGACTATGAATTCCAACTTTTACCAATGCGTGGTTTTAGCCAAACTACTATCTTGGAAGCATCGTTTCATCTACAAATGACGATGAGGATAAAGATCTCAAAGCCAGGCAGTATCGGAAAAGCAAGCTAAACCTTCATCATTCTGAAACCAGTTTAGAGATCTTCTCCAGTAGGCCTCGCATAAACAACGAAATTGGATTTTTTTCAACACAAACGTCAAATCAGTCACTTCTTCCATAAGGGTCAGAAAATTGGGGAGTTCATCAAGAAAAGCCTTTCCAACATCATGTCGCAAAATTTTTATCAATATCCATTTTTACTAGATCCATATTGAAAATAAAGTGGCTGGCCAGAAAGAATTACCAACAAGAAACTCTGGTTAGCGACAAACCAACGAAGAGCCGATCGCTCAACAGATATGCAGAAGAAAACGGAAATTGATTGCGCACACACTGAAGAAACTATTGAATGTCGTGCGACAGGCCATCGTTCAAGTGGAACTCCAATCGGAAACCATGAGTGAGTCTTCCAAGGGTGACATGGAAGAGACGAGAGACTATGGGCAATCGTGAGGCCAGCTAAAGATAACTGCAGAAAATAGGACAAAGTGGAGACGTGTTGTTGAAGCCGTATGTTTCATTCGGAACCCAAAGGAACATTAATATGATAATAATAATTCCCGACGACATGAACCCCACTGATCCCGACTTCTCCCCAGAACTTCAGGCAACTTTCTCCTGTATCCAAGCTGTCACTAGCGAGCATCACATTAACTTTCATAATTTAGTTTGTAGGAAAATTTTAATTTCTTTCAAGTGTGAGAAGTATTGAAAACCCACAAAGAGTATTGGATCATTGAAATTCATTGATTGGCCATTGAATACACTCTCAGAATGCTTGAATGATCAACGAGTGTTTGGCCTTGCAACACTAGAAGTTCGTCAGCTCGTGTATTGATGAGCATTTCAAAAATGGGATGAAACAACTACCTGGAAGTAGTCCATTTGTAGTAGCGGTAGTCTCCATTTCCATGTTTCCGGTATGGATAATGAGTCATTGCATCCTATTACGTATGTAGACTCGATGACCCAGGTAGGACTCAGTAATCAACCTCTCCACCTACATACCTACCTGTATTACTTACTTCTTAGAATTTTAACCCTCTCCTTCCCACCCTCTTGTGTGTGTGTGTGTGTGATTGTGCCTTGTTAATGCATACAGTACAATGTAGTGCTGAGCTCCATATTAGTTTGTTTATTAGATATATCACACAGAGAAACAGTATTATTTACTGGACACATTTTACACATACACTAATAGTGCTGAGCTCTTTTCTCTAAATTACTTATCTTCTCTCGAGTGAGGTTTACCATTCTAACCATAGCCACTAAATCCCTATGTTACACAGACAATTTGACTACCCCAAGCAATCTAAGTAGTTTCACCTATGTGTAGTTAGTTCACCGAACTCACAGTCTATGCAAGGTATTTTGTGAATTGTGTTATTTTGTTTAATTAGGTCAACCGACAAGGTTCTTTAACCTACAGAGGTGAATTTGTCCTACACCTAAGTGAGTTTGTGTGTGTTTGACTGCGCCGCCAACCTAATTCCTGCTTTATCAAGAAACCTACTTCTGGGGGTCTCAGAGATTTCCCCTCCCTTCTTATATGCTAGAACCACTGTAGACGCCTTATATTCTCTCTTATTTATGTTGTTATTATCATTATTAGTATTATTAGTTTCCGCATTATTTTTATTTAGCTTGACCTCTTCCTAATGAATTTTATAGGATAGTTGAGTTATTTGACACAAAACCAGCTCTTCTTCGCCTTCTATCTGTTTGATTTCGTCGTTTTGGGTTTTTAATTTGTACTACTTAGTGCTACTGCTCGGTTACACACTGTTAGATACTGTTAGACACACTTAACTACTAAGCCTGTCTGTCTGTCTGCCTTTACAGATAGATAACAACGAATGAGATGAATTAAAGTCTAAGTAACCATTAGCAGAATGCGTTGGATTTTTTTCTTTTATAAACGCTAGTATGCAGTGCAGTTTACCTTCTTCTATTCGTTTTATTTTACAATCTAACAGTATAGATAATTTTCCGATTCAAATGTGAATTTTATTCCCTTAACCAGTGAGTGAGTCATGATTAGTAAATATTATACTGTATAACGAATACTGTGTTAGACGACTTTATCAAAATAAATTTTACCCATAATGGAATTATACCCTCTACCAAAACAGTGAACAAGTTTTATTCTTATATCAATGAGAAAGAGCATTATTCGAATAGATGGATGGCAGATTATCTCAGGATCGTTTCTAGATGGTGTCTTAGCTTCACAAAATATACTCCCTATGTATATAACAAAAGAAGACAAGTGCCAGTCAACAGATCGTTTATTAAGGTAATTGTTATGTACTGGTCGAGAATTTAATAGTCCTGACGCAAGAAAGACGGAAATCAGAAGACCACTAGATTTGCGATGATACTTCTATTTTCCAAAACACAAGGAGAATCAATGTCACACAGGAGTGTGAGAGCAAAAATATATTTGAATGTCCGAACAAGAGTGTGTACACAAGTGTGTGAGCGAATATTCAAAATGAACAAATCAATAGACAGTCTTAACATGATTGGCTAATTATAATGGAATATCGATCCATATATACATAGCAAAATATATCAGACTGTCAAACAAACACACATACTATATGGATACATATCACCAAGATCAGACTGTCAAACGAAACACACATATTATATGGATATATATCAGTAATAAACACATATTTATAGATTTCATGTACATTATGTGATAGATAATTGTTAGCAAACAAACACAGTCTTCTGATTGATTGTTCCTAACAGAAAATTGACCTTGCATTTCTTTGTGACTGTTTCTTGAATGTCAAGTCATCTATATGTTAACTGTATCTGCCTACGCAAAGTCTTTTGTGATTGGTTGTTGAATCAGTCTTGTTCAATTTTCTCACGACTAATATTTGGGACATACACATTGACGTAAATTAATGTCTACCAATCGGCTAGTGGGCTGCTCTCATCATACCTACACCTTTTTATAATTGGCATTCATCAACAAAATTTAGTCGTGTGTTTCTCTCAAGGGAGACAAAGAAGAGATATCATCATCAGAATGGGGTTACTAGTCTCATACCCAGCCCAACTTTCTCGCTTTACCAGTCTTATTACTATCTTAGCAAGGTAAAGGAGGGTGTGTGTGGCCGGAGATCGAACCCCGGACCACATGGGTGGTCGGCGAACATTCTACTGCTGTGTCGTCACCGATGCACCACTGGTTAATTCTTACAATTCAAGTTCGTGATATGATCACCAGCTATAACACAATATTGGCCATCGTGTCGCACTGTGAATAGTTGTTAATCAATAAGAAAACTATCTAACGCGAAACTCTAGATCTAGGCTTCATGCTTATCGGCGTTCATTAGTACAGTATATTTGATTTCCCCTCAACAACAGATTAGAATTCGCTTAACCCAGTGTTGTACAAGACCACGATCACAGAATTCTTACCGATTACCCTAAAACCATCTAATAACGATCGAATATATTCTATAAAAAGCATTCATGGTGGGAATAAAGTCCCGATAGAGAATCAAAGATAAGATTTGCAGTATAAAATGGGATATCATCACATTCTATTTCACAGGTTCTCATCAGCTAACTATGAACCATTGCCTGAAATTACAATAGTTATAAACAGTGGCATTTCATACTTCAATGTTTGTTTGAAAGGTAATAGAGAAAACATTATAAGATAAACGCATCCATAGTATAAGTATTACAACTGACTGTAGTGTAAGTAGTCACCATCAATTTAAACACTTTCAAACTATGAAAAAAGAAGATGGGCAAGGGCGACGACAGAAGACAGAAAAATCAAATAAACAGTGTTAGCTTGTACGTCAACACGACAACTTAAGAAGGTTAAGGTTCATCAAATTGAAAACTTGCTCAGTGAGCTCAGCTCACTGCATAATACTAATCAGTGTAATGAAAGCAATATGGTTGGTTACCAAGGGAGTGAGAGATTATGACTACACACTCTCTGTCTGTGTCTGTCTGTCTGTCTGTTTTCGACATAGAACTTTGCACAAATGTGCGGAAGTTCAAGTCGCCACACTCCGTGTAGCACACAAAGCAAGAGAAGAAAGTACAAGAAAAGCATAATAGAAACTGTGAGCAGAGGTGTGAGACAAAGGAGGAGTAATAACGAAGAACAAAACAGTTTCATTGGAAATCATAAGTCACAAGGAGTGGATGCATCTCCGCTGGCCACTGAGAACGATTTTGAGCCATGTCACCAATTGTTTCCAACCATAGATTTTTACCGTCCCGAGGACCACAACCAGTCTGGAAGTCTACACCTTCCTACGTGGCTTAGGCTAACTGTTGTGGATTTAATTGACTGGTGAGGCCAAGCTTTTGTTTGACCGCCGCTAGCTTTTTCCAGCCTGACCCTATATCCGCTAGCATTGCTCGTCGAGGGAGGCGATGGCTTGGCATACGTAACACATGTCCTAACCATCTCAGTCTTTGTAGCTTCACAAGTACACAAGTTTGATCTGAAACGCTTGATTGCTGTAATTGCTTCAGCAAATCGTATTAGATTCACTGTCCTTTGTATGTTTTTATTATTTTGAAGGATTTGGAAATCTCAACAAAATGACACGTATCCACAAAGTGTCTGGTAATTGCGAATATCTGCTTCGTTTTAAGCATAAGTTTCTTGGAATATGCCCTGAAAAGGAAGCAGATTTTTACAAAGTGCAATTACCAGACACTTTGTGGATACGTGTCATTTTGTTGAGATTTCCAAATCGTTCAAAATAATAAAAACATACAAAGGACAGTGAATCTAATACGATTTGCTGAAGCAATTACAGCAATCAAGCGTTTCAGATCAAACTTGTGCACACAGACAGAGAGTGTGTAGTCATAACCTCTCACTCCCTTGGTAACCAACCATATTACTTTCATTACACTGATTAGTCATACTTACACTAGTGAGCTGAGCTCACTGAGCAAGTTTTCAATTTGATGAACCTTAACCTTCTTAAGTTGTCATGTTGACGTACAAGCTAACACTGTTTATTTGATTTTTCTGTCTTCTGTCACCCTTGCGCCCTTCTTCTTTTTTCATAGTTTGAAAGTGTTTAAACTGATGGTGACTTACACTACAGTCAGTTGTAATACTTATACTATGAATGCGGTTATCTTATAATGTTTTCTCTATTAGCTTTCAAACACTGAAGTATGAAATGTTATTATTTATATAACCATTGTAATTATCAGGTAGTTCGCAGATGATGAGAACCTTTGAAATAGAATGATGATACCACATTTCACACTGCAAATCTGGTCTTTCTTTCTCTATTGCAATTTATCAAGTGGAACCAAATGTATAACGGAAAAGCCTAAAAAATAGTCAACTATACCAACACGAGTATACATATCCACGCCATATATAGAAAACCATTTCTTCTGTGGAATTCTAAGAAGTCATAGAACAAGCAACAGCTAATAGCTGAAGTAGTGATGTGCTCACACTCTCGAACGAGCAGAATGGCCTTTCGATGTTTAAATCCCTTTGATCAGCCTGGCTAGCTAGTATTATACTGGCTGTGTAATGTGAGTAGTGGTTCCAGCTACTTATATCAGTTTACCAACCAGTAGTATATAAGCTCCATTAATCATCATCCAGATGATTTTAACAGATGAAATGGGGCAAAAGTAAGGCAGGAGACTTACAGGGAATAAATTCTCTTCATCGGATAAATGTTTTTCAACTTTTTTACATAAACTCTCTAGACCACGTTTAACCTAAAATAAATATTAAAAACAAAATAAAGCAAAAAGATTAATGCTCATAATAATGTGACTCAAGGCAAAACTAAAAAAAATCAATACAATCTAATTGGTGGATGGTGGCTAGCATTGGAATTCCCCAGGACAACGCTCATTTCGTCCTATTTGGGACTCGTCTGCCAGTTGGATGTACCTGCATTCCCCAGTCAGGGAGTGATGATATTCCCAACGCCGAGGCTCGAACCCAGTGCACATAGTTTCAAACACCACCCAAAGCGTCGTTATCCACTAGATCACTTGGGTTAGTAGAGCCACCTCTTTCTTGTGCAATGGATCATATTAATTACTGAATTGAATTTAAGATTTTCCCGTCGATTGATTCGACCGAAATCCCCATTATCTGGTGGATTCCACTGTTAGTCACCATCTAACCAATTAAATGCCCAGACATCGTCGAAGCATCTGCACAAGAAGCTGACAGATATGTCATCCTGAAACAGAGCACTTCGGTCCAATCAATCGATGGGAAAATCTCAAATTCAATTAAATCAATACAGTCATTGGGTAACGAATGAGTTTATTTATTGATTACAATAACTTCGGCAAAAAAATAGTGAAGGTTTGTCAACATGGATAACTTTAAAAAGGCATCAAATATCAAGTGCCTGTCGATGGCACTGTTTAAAGCATTTGTTCCCTTTAGCCATATGCTTTTTGGTACATGTTCAGAAAATCTTAGATATGCTCTTCTTTCTGTCCTTCCAATGTAACCGCTCCAGCAGATACATGCAAATTTGTATATACAGCTGAAGTTGTTAACATGAGAAGGATATCTATCGATTTTTCTATTGCAACAAAGAGCAAGTTGTTTGATAGACGGGAACGAGCTTAGCTGCAGGATAGGCTCTAGCTAGCGACGTACTCAGTCTTCGATTGATCATTGCTGCAGTGTTTTCACCTTTATAGTCAAGCTGAATGTAGATTGGCTTTTTACCCGCTGTGATTGGTTTTACATTTGCGACTTAAGATCTTGTTAATAAACCTTTTGAGGATAACCATTGCTTTTCAAAATCTTTTTGAGAAGCGTGAATTCTTCCTCTAGTTCCTCTGCAGAGCATATTCTCCTCGCTCTATAGTACAGAGTCTTGACTAGTTCACGTTTAAAGCTAATAAAATGTAAGTATTGTCCTTTCCAAGTAGACTTTCGATAAATTGACTTCTGAAGAATACCGTCTTCTAAGCGTTGCATGGCAATGTCGAGGAAGTGGAACTTTCCGTCACTTTCATGTTTCATAGTAAACTCAATATTGGTGTATGCATCATTGAATAGTCTGAGTAAGTGTGAAGCATGACTTTCATTCTTGCACACTGCAAATGTGTCATCAACATATCGACAGTAGGAAGTTGTTTCGTCGATTGCATGCTTCCCATAGCTACAACCAACTCTACTTGGCGGTAAAAAGTGCTGTCAAATTGGAATTGCACATCCATGGTACACATAAGCAGTAGGCGTTTAAAATTCCGACTCTGGGAGTGGGAGAAGATCGTCAGACTACTGAAGTTCCAGTAAGCAGGTGGAGTTCGCCTTGTAACTTGAATATTCAGGGTTCAATCCTTGATGGAGTCGTGAGTGAGTAAGTACCGCTATGGTCTCCCAAACTAGAACGAAATAGGTGTCAATCTGTGATCCAACTTGTAACTTGATATGAGTTACTCAATATTTAACTCACAAGGTGAAATCAGTATGTTACAGAAGAAGATATAACACGTAGGCATGTATAACACATGACAAAACCACGTCAACCGATCAATTTTACTTCAATACAAAAGAAAAACAAATTCCTTGTGTGTGTGTGTGCATATATGTGCACTGTCATCGATACATTGAGTAACGAAGGAAAGCGAGTGACGTCATGCAACGTCCTCCCCAGCGTGTTTCCGATCCATCTCCACTTTTCAGTTGGTATATTTGTTGAGCAGTAGCTGCTTGACCGATTAGTTTTCAGAGTTTCTTGTTGCCAATTTTCTCTACTTGTCACCTGATTTTCACCACAGGAAGAAGGTGGTTGCCGATAAAAGTCTGAAATGGTTTCGCAGACCCATATTGGTCGGTTTGGAAAATCTGAATCTTGTTCTTTATGCTGGCTGAGTGACAGCAGAAGGTTTTCAAAGTGGTTTCAGAATAATCAAGATTAGCCTCGTCTTTCAGACTTTTGTTTTGTCATCCTCATCCGTCCCCCCACACCTCCCAACCGAAAGCTGCTACCTTGACGTGGTGGTCGGGCTTGAACACCGCAATGTTCTATTCAAGCTATACTGGTTGAGACTTATGTCTCTTGAGGTCGTACCATGCCAGGCAGGTTGTTTGGATAGCGGTTAAACAAAAAGCAGCTACCCAATGCAACATCATGATCAATACAAAATCACAAAATTTCATGCCGGATCGGCCGTGGCCCGGATTAACATCGACCGCGCTTCCTGCTGCCGTGTCACAGGGCAGGAGTGATAAATATGCTACTGAGACACACAAAACAACAGAGAACAAACAAAAGCAGGCCGCGTGTGACCGACCCCAAGCAGTTGTCCCCTAGACTCTGAGGTCACGCAACCAACTTCCACGGTGTGGGCAGCCGGGAAGTAACAATCGCCCTCACAATCCGAAATGCACACGAAACCTCTCTATTACTCACTCATCATTGTTTTCATCTTCATCTCTATCATCTTGCCTTCCTTCCACTGATGCAACTCCTCGACTTGATAGCTCTCCACTTCCTCTCCACTCTGCGTCCACTAAAAACGATGGAAGCCAAAAAACCACCACCGACAGCCTCCTAAAGCCACGCCACCAATTTCATATAGGAGCTCTTAATGTTAGGACACTTTGCCAAATAGGACAACAAGCATCACTAGCCAAGACCCTGGCATCACGAGCCATTGATGTATGCTGTGTTTCAGAAACACGCATACAAGACCCAAGTGTGGTTATTCACCTAACCCCACCTGACCAACAGGTTGAATCTGCAAAATTCACCTTGAGGGTGCCAGGAGATGCCACAGCTAGTTCACGAGGATTAGTTGGTGTAGGGATAGCTTTGAGTACTAGGGCAGAAAAGACATTACTTGACTGGATCCCGGTAGATAACCGAATGTGTGCTGTCCGTCTGAACGGGTCAGTAAAAAGGAGGAAGGACTGCACTACTCGCCGATGCCTTTTCGTAATCTCCGCCTACGCCCCCACTGACTGCAGTTCGGATGAAACGAAGGATGAGTTCTACCAAAAGCTGTCTAGTTTGGTGGAAAGGCTAAACGCTCAGACATAGTCGTTCTAGCTGGTGACTTTAATGCTCAAGTAGGGAAATTGTGTCAATCTGAGAAGGACGTCAGGGGCACCTATGGAGTTCCGTGCCAGCGAACCGACAACGGTGACCGTCTCCTACAGTTCTGCTCTGATAATCATTTGTTTCTTGTAAGCACTAACTTCAAACACAAGGAGAGACACTGTTTGACTTGGAGACCCCCTTCATCAAACCAACGCTGGACACAAATAGACCACATAGCAATAAGCTATCGTTGGCGTGGGTCGGTAGGAGATTGTCGCTCCTTCTGGAACACGTGCGTAGATACCGACCATGCACTGGTCCGCGCTCGGGTGTGCTTACGACTGAACGGACGTAGGAAACAGCTGGCGGTAAAACCATCACGTCCCCAGCTCGATCAGGAAACTAAATCCGTATTTGAGGAAGAACTAGCTAAACACATATCTGTGTTCGACAGCTGTGCTCACCCTGAAGAAGCTTGGAAAAATATCCAGGCAGCCATAGATACAGCTGTAAAAGCTGTGAATAAGGTAAACCCAAAGGTGAGTAAAAACCACTGGATCTCCACCGCCTCATCCGAACTGATAGATGCTAGAAGACTTATTCCGGCGAGCTCCGAATTCAATGAGGAGCGAAAGCTGCACAAGAGGAAACTTACGAAAAGTCTCCGCAAGGACCGTGAACAGTGGTGGGCGACAAAAGCCAAAGAGATGGAGAAAGCTTCGAGGATAGGCAACACCAGGCAACTCTTTGGACTCATCAGGGAAACGGGTGGGAGAAGACAAATCATTAGTGAGACAATCTCGGAAAAAAATGGCACTATAATTAGCTCCAGGATAGACGACTGGATCGTTGGAAAGAGCATTATGAGGAGCAGTTTAATTTGCCCACAGCCACGCTCAACCTTCCGAGCATCCAACACCTCCCTGAATGGGATATAGACACAGGTCCTCCGTCACTAACTGAGGTTACTAAAGCTGTCACCAATCTGAAACTAGGCAAAGCAGCGGGACCTGATGGAATGACTCCAGAGGTATTTAAGTACGGTGGAGACAGCTTACTGTCCGGATTAACTGAGGTACTAGGCAGCGTCTGGGAATCAGAAGAAGTCCCATCGGGTTGGTGTAAGTCACTGATTATCCCCATATACAAGAAGGGAGACAAGTCTTCCTGTGATAATCACAGAGGGATTAGCTTGACTAATATAGTATCTAAAGTCTTAGGCTCAATAATCATGCGTAGACTGAGTGGTGCTCGGGAAGCACAAACACGAGAGAGCCAGGCAGGCTTTAGACCAGGAAGAGGGTGTATTGATCATATCTTCACCCTCCGACAGATTCTAGAACATAGGCATTCCTACCGGCGTCCAACAGTCATTATATTTCTTGACCTAAAGGCAGCATTCGACTCTGTCGATCGGGAAGTTCTCTGGAGATGCTTGGCTGTAAAGGGAATTCCGAGAAAATATATTGCACTGATTAAGGCACTCTACTCGTACTCATACAGCCAGGTGAGGGCTTACGGCGAGCTGTCATCTGAACTGATGACGACTAGTGGTGTCCGTCAAGGATGCCCATTATCCCCTTTTCTATTCAACTTCATCTTAGATGTACTAATGGACTTAACCCTAAGTGACTTCAGCGACTCAGGGATTGACTTGCTACCAGGGAATGATCTCGCTGATTTAGAATATGCAGACGATATAGTCCTTCTAGGCGAAGACGCTGACAAAATGCAGAATCTTCTAAACACCTTGAGCCGCAATCTACGAATGTTTGGTATGCGGTTCGCTCGTGCCAAATGTAAGATGATGTTACAGGACTGGACTACATCAACGCCTAGTTTAAAAATAGGAAGTGAAGTGGTAGAGCACGTTGACCATTTCACTTATTTCAGAAGTGCCATCAGCCACCAACGGGTTGGTCTCTGACGAAATCTCAGCACGGATACAGGGGGCTCGTTTCGCATTTGCCAGTTTACGCCGACTCTGGCGTAGACGAGATGTTCGACTATCGACCAAAGGGCGGGTGTACTGCTCATCAGTCCGCTCCGTCCTCCTTTATGGTTGTGAGACCTGGCCACTGAGAGTGGAAGACATGAAAAGACTGGCTGTCTTTGATCATAGGTGCCTGCGTTCTATTTCCCGTGTAAAGTGGCATAATAAGGTGAGCAACATTGAGGTTAGGCGTAGAGTTCTAGGTAAACAGGGGAAATCAATCGACGAAGTCGTGAAGCTACAAAGACTGAGATGGTTAGGACATGGGTTACGTATGCCTAGTCATCGCCTTCCTCGACAAGCAATGTTAGCGGATATAGGGTCAGGCTGGAAAAAAGCTAGCGGCGGTCAAACAAAAACATGGCATCACCAGTCAATAAAATCCACAACAGTTGGTCTAAGCCACGTAGGAAGGTGTAGACTTCCAGACTGGGGTCCTCGGGACGGTAAAAATCTATGGTTGGAAACAATTGGTGACATGGCTCAAAACCGTTCTCAGTGGCGCAGATGCATCCACTCCTTGTGACTTATGATTTCCTATGAAACTGTTTTGTTCTTCGTTAATACTCCTTTGTCTCACACCTCTGCTCACTGTCTCTATTATGCTTTTTTTGTACTTTCTTCTCTTGCTTTGTGTGCTACAAGGAGTGTGGCAACTTGAACTTCCGCACATTTGTGCAAAGTTCTATGTCGAAAACAGACAGACAGACCCCCAGTTATAACGAGGAGTAATCGGACTAGTTTCGATACATGTATTCGCCGAGATGACTTCAGATAAACTGCTCGCAGTCTTCGAAAAAAAAGCCCTCAGCTGAATTACTACGGTTTCCAGCAAGAGGATGATCGGCTGCTTACCAGAAAAACGTGGATAATGAAACAAATTACAATAATAGACATTAACCATAGATCTATCCCTAATCGTAACCATAAGCTTAATCGTGTCCCTAACACTAACCCTAACCTTAATCCTAATCAAAACCCTTATCCAGACTGTAATTCACTCCCCTAATGCTAATTATAACCCTGATCCTAACCCTAACCCCGATACTTATCTTAACCCTAATCCTAACCCTAACGAGCTATTAACACACTGTTCAAACAGTACTTAAAAACGTGATTTAGGTGAAATGTGCTCCTTAGATGGTGAATAGTATTGATATTTCAGCTATGCTAATGACAAATGCCGTTAGCCAAGGACTAGCATATGTTCATGGTCACTGGAGCGTTCACACTCCTGGGACGCTACTGTTGAACTTCGCCAGCGATTGGTTCTTGTTGTTGTTGCCTGACTGGATATTTTTTTTGTCATCCCCGTCTTCTCTATATTCATTTAAAGTACTGTCTATTAGCTGCTTGCTTCATCTGTCAGCATTGTTAGTTTTCGCCTTTAAATATTGCAGATTAGAAAAGGAAGTGCGAAACCGCTGTGTGTGTGTGTGTGTCTGTGTGCATGGGTGTACACATCGTATAGGAAAAGAAAGCGAATACAACAGAACTTACTTCTTTTCCAGGATATTCTTTAATCACTTTACGTAATTCTTGTTTACTAAAGGCAAATTGATAACTGACAACTTCTGGTCTTACACCGGCCTCTAAAGCGCTTTGTACATTTTCAAAGAAACTCTACAGATCGTGTAAATCAAAGAAGGAAGACAATGATGGAAAAGAAAAGAGTTAGTAGATGATTAACTCGAAGTTTAAAGATCACATGAAATAACACCTCAAAACTTTCCATATAAAATATTTTCCTTAACATATTGTTACTTTTCTTGAATTCGTTTACTGATATACTACTTATACCTGATTATAAGTAGTACTCACCACAGGAGTAATACTTTCTGTGTTTCTCTAGGGTATTGGAGTTGCACCGCTTCAATCACACGTGTTAGGTGTGTAGATTCTAAGAACAAGGATTCAGTGATCAACCAATCTCTCTGTATCCAACTATATTAGTTATTAGAACAGTCTCGTTTTGTCCCTCCATATTGTACGGTTGTGTGTGTTAGTGCAAACAATGCGATTTTGTAGTTGTTTTTTTTTCCAATCATACTACATACACTAAGCTAGATGTTTATATTCTGATAATAATCGACTAATCCAATCTTGTTGTAATTGCAAGGTATTTTATAGATTAAATTATTTCATTTTATTCGGTCAGCAAAGTACTTTAGCCTACAGACCTTGTCCCTATGTGAATTTTTAGAAGAAGAGTAATGTACTATTATATATTATTTCCATTTGATTCCGTGTGTAAAACATCTCCATTTTCTTCTATTTTCTGCTGTCCTGTACATCTGGATCCATGACTGACAATAATCCCCGACCGAAAGCTGCTACCTTGACGTGGTGGTCGGGCTTGAACACCGCAATGATCTATTCAAGCTATACTGGATGAGACTTATGTCTCTTGAGGTCCTACCATGCCAGGCAGGTTGTTTGGATAGCGGTTAAACAAAAAGCAGCCACACAATCCAACATCATGTCCAATACAAAATCACAAAATCTCATGCCGGATCGGCCGTGGCCCAGATTAACAACGACCGCGCTTCCTGCTGCCGTGTCACAGGGCAGGAGTGATAAATATCCTACTGAGACACACCAAACAAAAAAGAACGAACAAAAACAGGCCGCGTGTGACCGGCCTCAAGCAGTTGTCCCCTGGGCTCTGCGGTCACGCAACCAACTTCCACGGTGTGGGCAGCCGGGAAGTAACAAACGCCCTCACAATCCGAAATGCACACAAAACCTCTCTAATCCTCACTTATCTTTGTCTTCATCTTCATCTCTATCATCTTGCCTTCCTTCCACTGATGCAACTCCTCGACTTGATAGCTCTCCACTTCCTCTCCACTCAGCGCCCACTAAAAACTGATCTCTGACGAAATCTCAGCACGAATACAAGGGGCTCGTTTCGCTTTTGTTAGTTTACACCGACTCTGGCGTAGACGAGATGTTCGACTATCGACCAAAGGGCGGGTGTACTGCTCATCAGTCCGCTCCGTCCTCCTTTATGGCTGTCAGTGAGACCTGGCCACTGAGAGTGGAAGACATGAAAAGACTAGCTGTCTTTGATCATAGGTGCCTGCGCTCTATTTCCCGTGTAAAGTGGCATAATAAGGTGAGCAATATTGAAGTTAGGCGTAGAGTGCTAGGTAAACAGGGGAAATCAATCGACGAAGTCGTGAAGCTACAAAGACTGAGATGGTCAGGACATGTGTTACGTATGCCTAGTCATCGCCTCCCTCGACGAGCTATGTTAGCGGATATAGGGTCAGGCTGGAAAAAGGCTAGCGGCGGTCAAACAAAGACATGGCCTCACCAGTCAATGAAATCCACAACAGTTAGTCTAAGCCACGTAGGAAGAGGAAGACTTCCAGACTGGTTGTGGTCCTCGGGACGGTAAAAATCAATGATTGGAAACAATTGGTGACATGGCTCGAAATCGTTCTCAGTGGCCAGCGCAGATGCATCCACTCCTTGTGACTTATGATTTCCAATGAAACTGTTTTGTTCTTCGTTATTACTCCTCCTTTGTCTCACACCACTGCTCACTGTCTCTATTATGCTTTTCTTATACTTTCTTCTCTTGCTTCGTGTGCTACACGGAGTGTGGCGACTTGAACTTCCGCACATTTGTGGAAAGTTCTATGTCGAGAACAGACAGACAGACAGACAATCCACCCATCTACTTCTCGTATGCACTCATCCATGTCACCCACCGACCAACGCCCTACTTGTCGTTTCCCAATCAGATTCCACTCGAGTGATAGTCTACATGAAGCGCGATGTCATCCAACGGTCTCTTAAACGTATGCCCGATCAATCCGTCTCTATTTTCGCCTATAAAAACTTTTGAAACAATTGGCTAGTGAGCTGGTTTGTTGTCAGTCAGAATTTCTAGTTGCTAATTCGGCTATCGATAAAAGCCTAAAAATTGTTAGAAATCCTTTTCGTGAGACGCTGGCCAAGTTTCCAACCTGTATAGAAGAACTGACTGACTGACTAACTAACTTCACATTTGTTTAGAAAATCTGAATCTTGTTTTTTATACTGAGGGGCAGAGTGCAGAAGATTTCCAAATTGTTTTAAATTTGATGAAGGTGTAGCTTGCCTTTCCGACTCTGGCTGGATTTCTGATATGTATCCATATACATATATATGTGTGTGTATGGTGGTCTCTCTTTCTGTTTGCTCGCTTAGTCTGTGACCATTTCACTTGTATGAACTTGTCTCCTTTAACAATGTATATTCCCCTTATATTATATATAATATGAGTGTTTGTTGACAGTCCGTTGCTTGGTGACATATATCCATATATGGTGGTTGTTGACATGTCTGCTATATTTCGCTATGTATATATGGATCGATACTTCATTATAATTAGCCATTCATGTTAAGACTGTCTAATGATTGTTCACACCCTTGTCATATATATTTCGCTCTCACAGTTTGTGTGACTTACACTTACTTACTTATTTTGGTGTGATACCACTTATTGCTTCTCCTTGTGTTTGGAAAATAGAAGTATCATCGCAAACCTAGTGGTCTTCTGATTTCCGCCTTCTTGCGTCAGGACTATTAAATTCTCGACCAGTCCATAACTATAATTTAGCGACGAGTACATAACAATTTGACATCTCCATACGTGTCAGTGCTGATGAAGAGCCCCAAACACTGGGACAAAACAGCTACCGGTCCAGTTCTCTGTGATTATCAATTATCTTTCTAACCGATATTGGTTCCTGACAAAATCTACATTGAGAGTAGTCTAAATCCTTACAGAAAAAACTTCTAACCTAAATATTAATCCCCACCTCATTGATGTTTACAGGACGGATGTCATGAAGCTGTACTGAGACGTGGTGGTGATCAGTGGGGTACACCCTATCAAGGTGGAGTGAATCCTGATCTAAGACACTGACGAGGACAGTTCTGTGTTACGAATTGACGAGGTTGGAATTCAAAGGACACTCGAAGTGGCTCGGATTGGTTACCCGAAGGTTGTGAGTTCGATCTCCGGCCAGATCATGTCCCAAAGTAGGACGAAATAGCGCTCTAGTGCTCCCTGGTGATCTCTTTCACTCATGTTTATTTGTGACGAAGAAAACTAACAAGTGGAACATATACACACACACATACAGATAGACTTACAGCTAATTTTTCTAAAGGACGACCCATACAATTTTTAGTATATTCTTGTAGTGCTAGTGTGTATCGATTTTTGGCATCTTGACGATATTCGTCTAAACCGGACATTTTTAGTCGGCGAAGAATATCGCACAGTCGATGATAATTTTCTGGAAAGTAACCGAAAATAACCAAAAATAATAATAACAAAAATGTTTTCTTACAAATATGTTACTTATATCACATTTGTAAACACTGAGAACAGATCACAATGCTACATTTTAAAGACTACACGCAATATGTGAGTGCATTTCAAACGTTTTTACAAACTACAACAGGTTTGATCCTAAGTTGGCGTCAGAAAGAGAAGCTTTGAAAAACCATGGAGTACTGTGAAGCTGTTTTGTCCCAGTTTGAAACTCCCCAAAATACTCACCAAGCAGGGATTTCAACCGACGACCATCCGGTTAGAGGGATAAATCGTAGACCTCTAAGCAGCTGTGATGACTCGATATAATTGCCCAAGTGTTCCAACTTCTACGAATACACAATATTCAGCGCAACTACCAACCAATGTCGGCTGTTTTTTTATGTGATGAATTCAGATAGAAAGGCACTATACAAAAACAAATTTATGGCTTTTTTGCACAAGGATAACTACTTGTAAACAGACTTCTCATAAGATTTACATGAAAGTGGTCGTATTAATGTTTATATGACAACTAACTGCATAAGCTAATCTTATTATTCCTTGGTGGTAAGACAAAGAACTGATTGCAGCAGTAACTATCACTCATTTGGACACAATTAAGAAAATGATATTTTTTCGATTACAGCTTGATTCCACACCGTAGTTTTGATACAAGTATGAAATTTTCAGCATGTGATATCGGTAGCCTAAATTTTGCAGGTCGACCATAGACATCAGGTGTGAATCGGCAGCGGATCGAACCTAGAAACACGTCCATGGTCGGCGAGAGTCCTAACCACTGTGCCACCGACACACATATTAATAGTCTGCACTAACTTCTCATGTGAGGGAGGGTCTCCGAACAAAGACTGATGGCATTAATTTGCCACAATAGAATATCCAATGAAAAAGAGATGCAAGAATAAGGTAGCAACGCACTGAGAAGAATCGAATAATCAGATGTCATTGACACAGGAGTTTCAAAGAAAAGATGCGAGTGCTTTTTCTGAAGGATATTGAAGCTGTAAACAACCTAGTCGATATCTACAGCAGGAAAAGAAATCAAAGCTCGTTACAACAGTTCCTGTGAAGCTGGAGCGCAAAGACATCATGGAAGGAAGTTGATGGGCGGTTGTTTTCCGTGTCCAACGCAGAAGTCATTGAATAAATGAAGGAGTCCTCGGAGTTTGGTTAAGTTGAAGATTTGCTGGTTGATTCTGTTACTAACACTAAAGAATTTCCTGCGAAGTGAGTTATAAGTCTTCGACAAAGGTATAAAAGTACAACTGTTAACTTAACGATTCATGGAATGCATCCCTGTAGCTATCACATCCATCAGCTAGTGACAGCTGTCTACTGGCCAAAATTGGTAGACAACAATTTACGTCGATGTTTACGTTCCAAATCTTGGTCATGAGAAAAAAAGAACAAAGTCTAACCATGAGGAACTCGACAACCAATCACAGCAGACTTTGCGTGGGAAGCTACGATTAGAAGATATGTATCAACGGACTGTCTAAGAAGCGACAGCAAAGAGATGACAGCATAACCTTCAGCAAGAAAACAACCAGTCACAAGACGTTGCTTCTCTGCTAACTATACCGCTAATAATAATATACATAAAAATCAATAAATGTCTGTTGATTTTCTCAATAAACGATCTGTTGACTGACCCTTGTCTTTTGTCAATACAGATGGAGTTCAATCTATGAACATGGACAAACTGTTGAAGACCACAAGAAGTTCCTCCCAACATACTACTTATATGTCTACAAGTAGTAGACACTACAATAATACTAATACCCATATCACAAAATATTATTTTTATTTCATACATTTATTCCCCTTAATGAATTTGAACAAAGCAACAACTACAGTTTTAGCAGAATAAAATGGTACCATCTTTTAATTCGTTGCCTTCTCCTCAGCTGCTTACATTGCACAGTGGTTAGGACTCTTGCCAACCATGCACATGGTCCGGGGTTCGAGCCCACGCCGGCGCAGACCTGATATCTATGGTCGGCCTGCAAAATTTGGGCTACCGATATCCATGCTGAAAATTCCATACTTGTACCAAAAATACAGTGTGGAATCAAGCTGTAAATCAAAAATCAAATACTTGCCCACACAGAGTTCATTTTAAACAAAAATCAAACGATCACTATACACATACACTAATAATAATAATAGCAATATATATATATAAATATGCAATACTAAACACTATTCCGAAAAATAATAATCATACATAATGGAAACTTTTAGCATTTCGCATTCGGAAGAAAGAGAGTGAAAAATATCCAGTGACCAGGGCAAAGAAAGACTGATAACCGCTTCTTTCTGGACGCATAAATCAGGTTTCAGGCGCTTGATGGAAATGGCTTCAGAAAACTTAAGGAGAATTGAGCTATTTTGCTTACTGATAACTTTGAACGACTTTTCGACGTCCACCTCATGACCCGTGTCGAGGAGATGCCTGGTGATGGCACTGTTTAAAGCATTTGTTCCCTTTATATATTCTATTTTTGGCAAAGTTAAACTTTCGACACCACTAGCAACCAATCAGCAAACGACCTTGAACGGACCAATCACATTAAATAGGCATATATGATGAATGGAAACGCATATTTATAGAAAAAAGCATAAAGAAGGATAAAACGGTTACAAGGAGTATCTTTCTCGAATATGTGAGAGAAACATCTCCCAGTTTAGCATGTGACTGTCAGTGGCGAAGTCACAGCACATCCTGTACTTATATTCATCTGAACGGCTGTAAATGAGATCCTTTTCAGATCCATTTATAGCCCTTATCTTGTTTTTCAAGTGGCCCCGAAAACCTTCAATGGAATTCGTTTGAGTCCTCGTAACGGGATCCACACAGTAAACAAGTGATTGTCTCTATTTTACACGAAGCAATATCTCTGCAATGCTGGTACCACTAAACTGTTGAGACATGACTATTCTCAGTCTCGGCAGCTGCTGCTCTCACCGGCTGTTTCAACACCCAGTAATTGCAGATATACAAAATCTGGGTTAGGGAGAGATGTGACCTACGAAATATTAAAATTATCAGCTTACCCTCTCTAATATTAGCATGCTTCAAACATAAAGCACAACGATGAACAAACCCACCAGTTGATCTGCTATAGCTTTTTAAAGTCATGATACCAACACAAGAACAAGTTCGCTCCTTCCGGAGCAATTTAAATCCAGGCAATACTGGAAAACACTAACCTCCTCAAATTACAGCCGGAACCTTGTAAGGTCACGCATTAGAAATAAATCAAGCGCTATACAACACTGAACTGCGTTCGTGAATCTCATTGGATAATTCGACATCGTTCGTAAATCTTATTGGATAATTCGCTGATTGGTAGTTAGTGGTGTCGAAAGTTTAACTTCGCCCTATTTTTTTAATTTTTGATTACAGCTTGATTCCACACCGTATTTTTGATACAAGCATGAAATTTTCAGCATGTGATATTGGTAGCTTAAATTTTGCAGGTCGACCATAGACATCAGGTGTGAGTCGGCAGCGGATCGAACCTCGGACCATGTGCATGGTCGGCGAGAATCCTAACCACTGTGCCAGTATACATAAAAAACCTTTCGAAAATGATAAAAAAAATATAAAAAAGAAACACATACCTAGTTGAACTACTTCACCAGGTGTTTTAACACTTTCTGATGCAACACGATCAATCTCAGTCATCAAAGAGCGGACTAATTCACCATGAGCACGTTCTAAGTCAACTAGACGTGAACTTGTGGCGAATACAGTGATAGAACCTTCTGCAAATTCAATATACGTTCGTACAATCGTGAGAATACCACATCGAGCTTTACGACTTGGCTTACTCATTTTAAATGACATAATTAATCGTTCCTGTGAATAAAATGAAAAGGGGACAAGAAATAAAACCGTATTAGATTTAGATGAATAAGATTCAGAATGTCGACAATAATGATAAATTAGCCCTCGTAAGACAAGTCCCTCAGAGACCTGGCGTGTTGCCGAAAGTATTTCCCACAGGCTACTGACATCTGCCTTTACTTTAAATTGAGGACCCAAAAGACCAGTGAGAAGAGATAGGCATACGCGTCAAGTAACTCTGACAGTGCAGAGAATCAGCCACCGACCAGTTGTCTGTCTGTTTTCGACTTAGAACTTTGCACCGATGTGTAGCAGTTCAAGTCGCCAAACTCCCTCCTTGTAGCAAACAAAGCAAGAGAAGAAATGCATACTAGAGACAGTAGACAGGAATGTAAGAAAAAATCAATAGAAATAACGAAGAACAACATAGTTTTATTGGGTGTATTATAAGTCACAAGGAGTAGATGCATCTGCGTCAGCCAACTATTGAGAACAACTTTGAGCCATATCACAGATTGTCGCTAGACATTGATTTTTCCGTCTCGAGTACCCTAACCAATAAGTCTACATTTTCATACGTGTCTGGCCAAAACTAACTGTTGTGAATTTCACTGACTGATGAGGCTATGTTTTGGTTTGACCATCACTGGCTCTTTTCCGACCTAACCGTAAGTCAGGTAACATTGCCTGTCGAGGAAGGTGATGGCTAGGCATGCCTGCGTAACACATGTCCTAACCATCGCCTCAATCGATGTAACTTCGCAACTTCGTCTATTGATTTCCCCTCCTTACCTATAGTACGCTACGCCTTACCTCAATATTGCTCACCTTATTATACCACTTCACACGGGAGATAGAACGCAGCTAGTCTTTTCGCGTCTTCAACTCTCAATGGCCAGGTCTTGCTCACAGTAGTAACAGACGACGAGCGGACTTCAGTACACCCACCCTTTGGTCGATAGTCAGATATCACATCTAAGCCAGAGACGGAGTTAACTAGCATATGCGAAACTGGACTCCTGTATCGGTGCTGAGATTTCGTCAGAGGTCAACCCGTTGGAGTTGGTTGATGCAACTTCTCAAATAAGTGAAGTGGTCAGCACGCTCCACAAACCACTTCACTCCCTATTTCTAAACTAGGAGTCAATGTAGTCCAGTCCTGTAGCAGCATTCGCAGATTGCAATTGAAACTGTTCAGAAGACTGCTGAATTTTGTCAGCGTCTCACCTAAAAGGCAGGGCTAAATCGTCTACTCAGAACCGAAGATAATAAGAATTAATAATGAAAAAAAACACAGATATTATGATAAATACATGTCCTATTCACCGAAAAACTGGAGCGCATAAATCTCCTTCAATACTCTCACAATCAATCAATCAATAAAAAGAATGATATCATGAGAAGGCTCACTTACAATAAGACGATTGAATGCTCTCTTGGTTTCAACAATAAGTCGTGATAAAAAATTACCAATAAATGTCACTTGTACTTTGGTCATATCTGATGCTGATGGTGACTGTAGCTGTTTTGCATTGCCCCCAGTCATCTCAACAATTCCACCGATATTCTGTGCTGTTTCATTCTCTGTAATACGTGATATGGATATGAGTAATGGCATAATAAGGATGGTTAGCAGTTGTTCACAATTTATAACTAAATTCAAAACATCTTGTTCAACACCATCGAATAACTGGAACATACAGTCCAATAGGGTGGGGAGTTCATCACCTGAATAAACCTTTTGGGCATTAGGCTAAGGGGAAGAGAGAAAAATAGCATCTGAGGTGTTAATAAGGCGTAAAAATTGAAGCCACAATATATATACATATATAATACAAAGTCACATCACTAATATATACATCATTAATAATACATAATAAAACTGGCAGTCAAACCACTCACAAACTCAATTAGAAACAAGCTTTGTCGCTTAAAGGATCAATCCTTTGGAGCCTTTAAAACAAAGCAATTTATTTTATCTAATACCCTTGCCTGCAATGATTGTCAAGTCAAATACATAGGTCAAACCAGTAGAACAGGGGCAGTCAGTCAGACTAGCTGAACATAAAAACCCGAATAAGATAAAAATCTAGAGAATAGTTTAGCTATCTCAAACCCTACATGGAATTATACACAACATAGGCATACAGTAGGATGATGTGATAAGATGGCAGTCTAAAAACCTAATGTAACAGTTTGAATGGAGGGAGAGATTGATAAAAGAAGCTTTGTTTATCGAATCAACCGCAAATACATGTAATAGAAATGACTCAACACCTGTCCAGTTGGACATCTGGAAAATTCTACTACCTGAACGACGACAAATAGGAGAGGACAAAGAAAACCATAAAACTCAAGTTTCAAAGTCGTGTGATTACAATTGATGACATGATTATGAACAATAAATTTTGTTCGGAACCTCATCATCCAGTAAATAATACTGTTTCACTCACTGTATGATACATTATATTTCTTGACCTAAAGGCAGCATTCGACTCTGTCGATCGGGAAGTTCTCTGGAGATGCTTGGCTGTAAAGGGAATTCCAAGAAAATATATTGCACTGATTAAGGCACTCTACTCGTACTCATACAGCCAGGTGAGGGCTTACGGCGAGCTGTCATCTGAACTGATGACGACCAGTGGTGTCCGTCAAGGATGCCCATTATCCCCTTTTCTATTCAACTTCATCATAGATGTGTTAATGGACTTAACCCTAGGTGACTTCAGCGACTCAGGGATTGACTTGCTACCGGGAATAATCTCGTTGACTTGGAATATGCAGACGATATAGTCCTTCTAGGCGAAGACGCTGACAAAATGCAGTCTTCTAAACACCTTGAGCCGCAATCTACGAATGTTTGGCATGCGATTCGCTCCCGCCAAATGCAAGATGATGTTACAGAACTGACTGGACTACATCGACGATTAGTTTAAAAATAGGAAGTGAAGTGGTAGAGCACGTTGACCGCTTCACTTATTTGGGAAGTACCATCAGCCAGTGCCAACGGGCTGATCTCTGACGAAATCTCAGCTGAGTACGGATACAGGGGGCTCGTTTCGCATTTGTTAGTTTACGCCGACTCTGGCGTAGACGAGATGTTCGACTATCGACCAAAGGGCGGGTGTACTGCTCATCAGTCCGCTCCGTCCTCCCTTATGGCTGTCAGTGAGACCTGGCCACTGAGAGTGGAAGACATGAAAAGATTAGCTATCTTTGATCATAGGTGCCTGCGCTCTATTTCCCGTGTGAAGTAGTAATATAAGGTGAGCAATATTGAGGTTAGGCGTAGAGTTCTAGGTAAACAGGGGAAATCAATCGACGAAGTCGTGAAGTTACAAAGACTGAGATGGTTAGGACATGTGTTACGTATGCCAAGTCATCGCCTCCCTCGACGAGCAATGTTAGCGGATATAGGGTCAGGCTGGAAAAAAGCTAGCGGCGGTCAAACAAAAACATGGCCTCACCAGTCAATGAAATCCACAACAGTTGGTCTAAGCCACGTAGGAAGGTGTAGACTTCCAGACTGGGGTCCTCGGGACGGTAAAAATCTATGGTTGGAAACAATTGGTGACATGGCTCAAAACCGTTCTCAGTGGCGCAGATGCATCCACTCCCTGTGACTTATGATCTTCAATGAAACTGTTTTGTTTTTCTTTATTACTCCTTTGTATCACACCTCTGCTCACTGTTTCTATTATGCTTTTCTTGTACTTTCTTCTCTTGCTTCGCGTGCTACACGGAATGTGGCGACTTGAACTTCCGCACATTTGTGCAAAGTTCTATGTCGAAAACAGACAGACAGACAGTATGATACATCTAAGAAACAAACTAACAGGAAAGTCATATCATCCTGGAAAGAATAAAACATGAACTGGATGAACACTCCCGCTCCCCAGAACAAGCTGGATTCAAGAAAGGTAGATCATATGCCTGTTAAATTGCAAGTTTACGCATAGTCATCCCAGAACCAAGCATAGAATGGTAGCCAAATATCACTCTACCTCAACTTACTTCATCGACTTGGAAAAGATAAGATAATAGCTTTATTCCAAAGGAGTACTTGTGATACAGAATGGAATTTTCAGCATTTTTACTACATTTATTGCATCTAGTTAGTACATTAACAATAAATAAAGTTCTACAGAGATTAAAGTTATCTCAGTCAGTTTTGACAACAACATATTAGCATGTCGGTAGCAAAGCCAAAATTGAAACAGGGTGTTTGAAGGTGTTAGAAAAGTAGATACTACTAGCATATTTACTGGCGTAAGCGACAGCAAAATGGTCGAGATATACAGAGTGTGAAAGAACGAAGAAGAATGTTTTAAGTAGAGTTTGTAAGGAAGAGAGAAACGAAGCAGCACATAACAAAAATAAATACAGAATGAAAAAAAAGTAGAGAGAAAACGTTGTGCCTGTAAATGATGTGAGTTGGAAAGACGAGATCCAATTGTTCTACTGACTATTTAATAAGTTGAAGGCCTTTCGACAGACAGCGTTGGTTGACCGAGAAGTAATTTGGAAATTGCTTTAACACTACAGCGTGCAATGCCAAAGTCTTTATCAACCTTATTCAGCCACAGTTGGCTATATGACAATGCCTTGTGTCAACTTGTGATCCACAACGGACAGCTCAATGAGGCGTTCAAAGTGAATACAGGACTAAGACAAGGTGGCTGACAGTCTGCCTATTATCACTAATGATGTTCCCAATTGTGGTGGACTGACTGAATCATGTGTGTTCATGGAGAGTAACAAAACAAAGGAATATGTTGAACCACCGATAAGCAGACTTTGGTAAATCTCGATTTCAAGGTGGATGATTCATGTGTCTAGTGTCACACACAAACTCGAAGACTTGCAAGTGAAAACCAACAAACTGGCTGAAGAGGCAGTAAGCGAAGATAGGACGCTGAGTGAACATAGAGCCAGCCAGTCAGAATCGGAAAGGCAAGATACACACGCCTTCATCAATCTGAAACCGGTTTAGAAATATTCTGCACTCAACCTCAGCATAAGCTGACGACGAGATTCGGATTCTTTTCAACACCAAATGTCAGAAAACTCTACTTAGTGTCATGAAAAGCATTTCCAACAAGTTGCACGCTTCTATAAACAGCTGCCACCTTCACTGGCTGGCTGGCTGGCTCCACACTGAAGGTGAAATGGCCAGTCGCCCAAAGAGATTGAGTAACAAGAAAGTCTGGTTGGCGACAAACCAACCAAGAACCGACTGGCTCAACAAATATGTAGGAGAAAGTGGAGATGGATGGATGGATCGGGTATATATATTGAGGAAACCGTCGAATGACACTGCACCCAATACAGGTCATCGCTCGAGTGGAATCCTAATTGGAAGCACGTGGTGAGTGGGCTATCAGTGCGAGAATGACAAGGCGGAGAAGGAGATGAGAGATTATGGGCAATCACTGACCCAGCTGAAGAGGATAGCAGAAAATGGAACAAAGTGGAGATGCATTGTTGAAGCCTTATGTTTCACTCGGAAGCCAAGGAAATATTAATAAAAAATATAGATACATACATAAATATGTATTATCAGCTGCGAGAGTATCGAATTGCGGAGGGATGGATTTAGTGAACACTATGCTTTTGAAACAGCATGGAAAACATGAAAGGAAGTGTTATGTTGCTGCTGCTGCTGAGTGGTTAATAGTAGTTTTCCCTGTCGCCAAATTGTTATGTACTCGTCGCTAAATTATTGTTATGTACTGATCGAGAATTTAATAGTCCTGACGCAAGAAAGACGGAAATCAGAAGATCACTAGGTTTGCGATGATACTTCTATTGTCCAAACACAAGGAGAATGCAATAGTGGTATCACACCAAAGTAAGTCAGTGACACAAATTGTGAGAACGAAATATATATATGAATGTTCAGACAAGGGTGTGAACAAATCATTAGACAGTCTTAACATGAATGGCTAATTATAATGAAGTATCGATCCATATATACATAGCAAAATATATAGCAGACATGTCAACAACCACCATATAAGGATATATGTCACCAAGCAACGGACTGTCAACAAACACTCATATTATATATAGTATAAGGGGAATATACATTGTTAAAGGAGACAGGTTCATAAAAGTGAAATGGTCACAGACTAAGAGAGCAAACAGAAAGAAAGACCAACATACACACACACATAAATATGAAATGAATTTAGGAAGTCGTGTGATTGCCTTGATATGATTATGAGCAATAAATTGTTCTCGAAATGTCATCAGTAAACGTTTACTGTATAACACTGTGAGACTTTATCAAAACAAAATTTACCCATAATGGAATTACACTCTACCACAGTGCACAAGTTTTATTCTTATATCAATGACACATAAATATATATATATATATATATATATATATATATATATATATATATATGTGGATACATATCAGGAAGACAAAAAAACTACAATACGAAAGATTTGTGAAAATTGTCATTCTGATTTGTATGGTAGACCCATTTTGTCTACATAAGTGTATCAAGTTGTCAATATACAATTCCGTTACCAAATTCTTTTGTATTCTTGTAATTCTTCAGAATTCAATATCCCATGAAAAATAAGATTCGAATTTTCAACTCCAATGTGAAATCAGCGCTACTATACGGACCAGAGACTTGGCGTCGCGCTACGTCGCGTCACAAAGGACACTTCGAACAAACTACAGGCCTTCATCAACAGCTGCTTTCGCTAAAATACAACTCAAGATCAGATGGCCGGTCAGAAATGATCACTAATAGTAAGGCGAACCAACCCAGCTGGAACCAACTGAGCAACAGATATGAGGAAGAAATGGAAGTGAATTGGCCATACTCAGAGAAAAAACAAACCATCAAGTGAATGACACCACAAGCCAGGCTCTCTCTCTCTCGATCGATCGACTGGACCCGAATGGAAAGCGGAGAGATGGTCATCAGTGCAAGAGTGACACGGAGGGGGAGGAGGTCATGTGAAGAGGAGATGAAAGCATGTGGGCAGATGTGGAGTCTGGTGAAAACGTTGGCAGAGAGCTGAATGCAGTGGAGCCGTGCGGCTGAAGGCCTATGTTCCTCTACGAACTAAAGGAAACAATAAAATAATAATATCCCCATTTCCAACAAGGATGGAAATGTTTCTGAAGGTTCTAACTTTTCAAAAAGGTGGTTCGGATAGCGGTTAGATAAAACGCAGTTACCATCCTCTTAGAAGTTATGTACGCTAATTTTCTTGCGGGGAGAAGGCTTTCTTTGGGAGAATTTGTACTGCAGATGAGTGGGGGTGTCACAGCAGTTCTGACATGACCAGCATACTAACAATGCTACTTCTCAGGTCTGAAGGCAGGGTTAAGAGGTGTCGACCACAAAAATTGTACATCTCTCTCACATTTCATCGGCGGCCTTCTTAAAATTTGGACTACTAGTTAACATTTCCAACGAATTCAACAGTCTATAATCATGACTAAAGACCCCCCTAAAAGAAATTAAACGTCTCTTAAGCAATGAAGATATCATCATACTATGATCAGATAAAGGTTCAGCGTTATAGTGATGAACAAGGCTGAATAAATCCAGAAAAAATGGAGTCCCTTCTCAATGATACATCGAAATTCAAGACTGATAATCACAGCCTCCAAAGCCTCAGGATGGTCGGGGGTGGGTGTCTTGCGCTGCGGGTTGGCCACCCCTCCGTACACCTCTTGAAATGCTCCCATATGACCGGGCGTCTTACATAGCCTCTCCTGAGGAAGTCCTACTCACTGCCTTCACGTGGCGAAGGTGTTTTTCACCAAAGTGAGAGGGCAAAAGCGGATGCCCGACGCTCTTCACCGGGTTGACTGTCCATTGGATGACAGTCTAGGGGAGATGGCTAAACCCTGATTCCAAACCTCCAACGACTGGCGTATGGAGCTCACCGGCAGACGTATGGACAAAGGGCTTATTGGATGGCATGGATGTCTGGCCCCATTCAAAAAGGTGTATGAACCGGACTCCGGTCACCGGCTGCCAATGGATAGTGGACTCCCTACTCCACTCCTACTGCCTTGTAGGTCACACTTGGTTGTGTAAAGGCTAGAGCTGCACTCTCAAACAAAAGGCCGAGCGATGCTGGTGACATCACTCGTACCCAATTCCCATGAAACTTCATGGTACATGAAGCCGGCTCATTCTCCCGTAGGAGATAGCCGAAGTAAAGTAAAGTAAGTAAGTACTGATAATCACACGAAGGATATAACGGATTCGAAACGTCAGTAAACATAACAACAGTATCGTTTTGTCCTTTTCATTCATTCATCCATTGGGAAATACAAAAAGGCGACCTTAATTAAAATGAGTAAAGTTGCAAGCCGTGAGTTCAGCCTTTCTCCTTTACTTGAGTTTACCTACCCCACCTAGATGAAGCTTAGAAGCATATCAGCTCAGGAACTAAACGTGGACTTACCACTGAACAACACCACACGTCTACACAGGAATATTATAAATAACGATTTCAAAATTGATTAGAGATGCCCATTAAAATTTTTTTCAAAAGAATGGATACTGAACCAAGAGTACCCTCTTCGATAACCCCTTCATCATCAGGTTCTACAGTTATATATACATTATAATGAATGAATTAATTAATTAATGTTATGAACGACATTAATGTTGCTGTTGAAATAACATCGAATCAATATTATGAATAGATAACAGTTCAATAGCGTCAACATAACAATAAACTGAATGTCAGAAAACACATTAGGAAAGATGATATTACAAATTCATGAATTTATAGTCTCTACTGACGGCCGGCCAGGATAGTAGTAGTGGCTGGCTGGACTTTTGAACACGGAGCACTAGTTGTTTGGGGCGAACTGTAATAGACTCTGCTGTTTGGAGCATGCGGTACTTCGATGTTTTCGGCAGTTTATTAGGCACCCAGTAGATGATAGAGAAGAATTCGTCAACGCTGACTGGCTTTGTGGCCAGTTTGCACCAGATGGTCCAATATCGAACTGTTAATGGTTTTAACTACACCTTTACTTAGCCATAGTGGGAGATGTTCTTGAGCTGGCGCGAAAAATCAAGTTCTTAGAGCAACGGCCAATATAACTCGCTACTCCACAAGTGCATTTTGAATTGGTAGATACAATTTGAAGTGGCTAGCTAGTCTACGTACTTCATCTTTCAGTCGAGGCGTCATTCTCGGCAGTGTAGAGAATAAGACGTGTAGTTAGCCAGCATTAAATTAACATTAAATTCAAAATTTTAAAAAAAACTGTCCTCACCACTCACCGACTTATCACTTGGTGGATGTAAATTAAAGCCGAAAAATTGATTTATAAACGCCTGTTCTGTACGTATTACTGTCAAAATTTTATCGAAACAATTATCAAATATCTAAAATGGAAATTATGAATAAAAATTAAATAAATAAATATATAAAAGAGAAGCAAGTGACATTAATACTTTTTTTCTATAGTTTGGTTTGTAAAGGTTAGTTTTGTTTTTCCAAGTTGATCACGGATTGATATCAGTTAGAGAACCATTGGAAACAATCACTGGTGTACTGGACAGCTGTTTCATCCTAGTTTGGGAATCATCGGCAGTACACACTCACCACAGTGGGGTTCGAACCCAGGAACTTCCGGTTATAAGGCAAGCTACCTCGTATACTATTCAGCTACTGGAACCCAACTCAATAGTCAACGCGTGAATTTTAACTCCTACCAATTCGTGATTTAGCGCGATTGGCACCAATCATGGTCGTAGGGGTGGGACATCCATCTATACACGTGACACTTGGATGGACCTCACTGGTAATGACTTCTCAGCTAGAAATCCAGGAAACTTCATCCTGTAGCAAGTCACTCAGTAGCGAGCATCAGATTAATTTTATATAGTTGACTTGTAAGGATTAGTTTCGTTTTTACGAGTTGATCACGGACTGATATCACAGCTAGAGAACCACTGAAAAGTCATTTTGAATTGGCTTCATGATTGATTGCTTTAAGGCTTTTCTATCCACTTCAGAAGCTCTCCGACATGATGTAAGATGATGCGCTACAGGACTCGACTAGACAACATCGATAACATCGTGTGTCAGTGGCACAGCGGTTAGGACTTTCGCCGACCAGGCACATGGTCCGAGGTTCGACCCCTGCCAACGCACACCTGATATCTATGATCGGCATGCAAAAATTTGGGCTACCGATATGCGTGCTGAAAATTTCATGCTTCTACCAAAAAATACGGTGTGGAATCAAGCTGTAATCAAAATTAAATTAAAATTAGAGGTAAGCAGGAGTGAAGTATTGAGTGGAGTGTGCTGACCAACTCCAGAGGACTGATCGCTCACGAAATCTCGCCACGGATACAGAAGGATTGTATGGCATTTGACGCCAACTTACAATATCTCTAGCTTAATAGACATTATATCCTGTTGGCTATCGCGATCAAACGACGTGTGTACTACTCAATAGTTCGCTCTGTCCTCCCTTAATGGTTGTGAATGACACATGGAAACTGAAAGTGAAAGATACAAAATGACCGGTTAGTTGTCTTTAAGCGTACGTGTCTGTCTTCTGTCTCCCATGTGTTAGGTGGTAGATACAAATAAGGCGAGTAATATTGAAGTTAGAAGCCAATCGAGTGTAACGAAAGGAGGAGAAATCAGTCGACGAGATTGTAAAGTTACAAAGATTGAGGCGATGGTTAGGACATCCCTTACTCATGCATTCCTAGCCAGGTTGAAGAAGAACCAGTGGCGATCAAACCAAAACATGCGATTAATCAATTAAATTCACAACAGTTAGTTGAAGTCAGTCAGCCAGCTACGTAGGGGAGGTGTAGACTTCCTGATTGGTTGGTTGGTTGGTTTCTTTGGGATGCTAACAACCGGTGAAGGCTGGAACACAATTGATGATATGGCTCAAAATCGTCGTTCTACGTGGTGATGGTGGTGGTTGGTGCAGAGGCATTCACTCTTTGTGATTGATAATATCCAATACAACTCTGTTGTTCTTCCCCATTACAATTCTCACTCACACTTTTATTGATTGTGTCTTCTTTTAATGAACCACTCTTTACTCTCTTCTCTTGGACTGTGCGGTATATATAGAGGGAGAATGACAACTTGAATTACTGCAAATCTTTGAAAAGTTCTACATTGAATCCAGTCAGTCATTTCCATTCCGATTGGAACGTATACCAGTCTGTTTTCGACATAGAACTTTGCATCGATGTGCAGCAGTTCAAGTCGTCACACTACACTCCTTCTAGCACACAAAGCAAGAGAAGAAATGCATAGTGGAGACAGTAAACAGAGGTGTGAGACAAAGGAGGAGTAATAACGAAGAACAAAACAGTTTCATTGGAGATCATAAGTCACAAGGAGTGCATGCATCTGCACTAGACACTGAGAACAATTTTGAGCCATATCACCAACTGTCTTCAGCCTTATTGGTTTCTACCGTCCCAAGGACCCCAACGAGGAAGTCTACACCTTCCTGAGTGGCTTAGACTAGCTGTTGTAGATTTCACTGACTGATGCCAAGTTTTTGTTTGACCTCCGCTAGCTCTTTTTCCAACCTGACCCTATGTCAGCTAACATTGCCCTTTGTCGAGGAAGGCGATGACTAGGCATCCGTAACACATGTCCTAACCATCTTAGTCGATGTAACTTCACAACCTCGTCGATTGATTTCCCCTCCTTACCTAAAACTCGACCGAGGGCTAACCTCAATATCGCTCACCTCATTATACCACTTCAAACGGGAGATAGAACCCAGGCACCCATGCTCAAGGACAGCTAGCTGGCCTTTTCATGTCTTCCCTTCTTAATGGCCAGGTCTCACTCACAATCATAAAGGAGGACGGAGCGGACTGCTGAGCAGTACATTGGAACGTATGACTTCTTCAGTAGACCACCTCTATTTCATTCAGTTCTCTTGAAGTCATTTTAAACTGGCTTCACAATCGACTGTCTATAAGCTTTCCTTTCGTCTTCAGAAACTCTCCCATATGTTGCAAGATGATGCTACAGGACCGGACTGGACTACAGTGACTCACTCTTAGCTTAAAGATAGGCAGGAGTGCATTGACTAACTCCAGAAGGTTGATCGCTAACGAAATTTCAATGCGGATACAGAAGGACCATTTGGCATTTGCCGCTAACTTACGACATCTCTGGCTTCGTAGACGTGATATCCGGTCGGTTGTCGACCAAAGGATATGTGTATTGCTCGGAAGTTCGCGTTGTCCTTATTTTCGGCTGGCTGTGAGTGAGAAATGCCCAATGAAAGTGGAAGACATTATCAGAGATGCCTGTGTTCTATCTTCCGCGGTAAGAAGTATAATACAGTGAGCAATATTGAGGTTAGGCTTCGGTTGAGTGCTAGGTAAGGAGGGGGAATCAATCGACGAGGTTGTGAAGTTACACCGATTGCGATGGTTACGACATGTGTTACGCATGCATCCCTAGCTATCGCCTTCCTGGACGGGCAACGTTAGTTGATATAGCATAGATCAGGTTGGAAAAGAGGCAGTTGTGGTCAAACCAACACATGGCTTGATCAGCTGGTCAAATCTATAACAACAGTTAGTTTAAGCCAGGCACTTAGGGAGGTGTAGAGGTCTAGAACTGGGAAATGCTCTATTCCATGCACCTTTAATTGTACCTTTTGTACGCTAGATAGATAAACTGGTTTCTTTTCAAATATTTCCGGTTTTGGTCTAGGTGGTTTTTCCTTCCCATATTCTGATATGAACATCCAAAAAATATCCATTTTCGATAAGATTCTTTTCTATGACTGAGAGTTCCTCTTTGATCTCATCTTTTGAACACAACGTTCCAGTTCTGCTGAAAAGTGTTTTCAACAAGCTCCATTTATAGCCCATCGAGCAAACACCATGATTAGTCAGTACTGGTCAGTTCAAGTTTCTTTCCTGTAGATGGATTTTCTAATTGACATATCATTTCTTCTTTTCAAGTTGAGATCTAGGAAGTGGAACTGATTGTTACTTTCATGGATGCGTGATTCATATTACTGCAAACTACAAACGTTTTGAAGAGAATTCACGAAATAAAGTTAGTTCGTATTATCAAAATTGCAAATATATTCGTTCTTTCTTCATTCAAAGTAGGCATCACTGCATGATGACGGGTGTAATGACATGTTTAAAATCCACAATACGATGAACACATTTATCGAATCCAGCGGAAGCTAATAAATTCTACGATCGATCAAACACAGGATTGAAGTACAAGTAAACGAATCGCTATGTTAATTCATCCCGCAAAAATTGCTAAAGCTAATTTAGCTACTTATTTCGATTACAATAGTACAGTGAATATTTACAAAATAAAAGGAAGTACTATTGTGTGTGTGTGTGATGGGGACAATTCACTTAAGTGAACCAACTTACATTTTCAACTTGAGAGAGGAAATTTGAATCAGAAACTTGTAATGACATTACACTGCCAACATCAGATGGCATATTATCAAGACGTTGTGAATCTTTAGCTAGATAAAAAAAACAAAAACAAACAATAAAAGGTGATTGAATATGAATCAATCGAAAGGGGAAGTCGAAGTTAAGAAACATTTGAACAAATTGAGAAAGAAGATGGTTTGGAGCGAACAATTGTAGTTTCGATCAATTTCCCCTCATCTCAAGCTCCACAGATATAAATCCATGAATATTAGTAGAATACAAATAGCTATTAATGGAATGTGACAATTCCATCAGAAATTGTCCGTATTGGAGTGACACAGTTCGGTATTCAAGTGAACGCATACGAAAAATGTGCAGTCATTCAGAACATAAAATAAAGTGTGAATAGGGTAACATACTAATGTATTCATAGCCAACAGAATATAAGTTTCATTGGGACTAGGGGGGAGTTATATTCAATTGTGTGCGAGGAAAATTAATACCACACGATGCAAATAAATAAATACCAATAGAGAGCGAACAATGAATATAAACTCAAGGGGTGAAAGATATCAAATGTAGTGATAAAATAAAGAGACATGATAAGCTCAGTGAAAATTACGAAATTATTATTATTGTTTCCTTTAATTCCTACAGGAATTTAGGGCTTCAGCCCCAACGTCTCCATTGCGTTCGCTTCTCTGTCGATGTTTCTATCACCTGGCTCCAAATCTGCCGACATGCTTTTATCTCCTCTGAACATGACCTCCTCCTTCATATCACCGTCGCACTGACAACCAACTCGCCGCTTCCCAGTCGGATTTCAATCGAGCGATAGCCTGGCATGTGATGTCAATCACTTGATGGTTTGTTTACTCAGAGTATGGCCGATCCACCTCCATTTCTTCCAGCACATTTGTTGCTAGGTTGATTCGCTCCCAGCGATCCCTTACTATTCGTGATCATTTCTGGCCAGCCATATGATCTTGAGTATTGCGTAAAGACAGCTGTTGATGAAAGTTTGCAGATTGTTCACATTGGAGTTGAAAATCCGGACCTCACTTTTCATATTGAGTGATGTTGACCTCCACACAGACTTGAGAGTAATGAAAGCTTGTCTTGCTTTCCCGATTTTTGTGCTTTGATATCCTCATCAGTTCCGTCAGCCTGTAGTTCAAACAATGCTTCCCAGGTAGGCAGGTCGGTATGTAAAGGTTGCTTCTTTCAGACTTCTCCTATGTATACTGGCTGATTGTTGTCTGTTGTTGAGGTTGCTGTTGCAGTTGGCCAGGAATCTTCATCACCAATGTTTTCTCTATGTTCACCTGAAGGCCTATCTTCCCTGGATGCTTCCCTCTGCCAACTTGTTGCTTTTCAGTTATCGTAATCAATTGGACAACTTGAAAACAACGTAAAAATGACCTCATGCTGAAGAACGACGATTAAGTTGCTGTATACATACGCTGAAATATTTTAAATTCTAATTTAATAATACTACCATGACAGCGAAACGTCCGTCAGAACAATAACAGTATCGTTTAGTCTTTCATTCACTAGGATATACAAAAAGCCTTTTATAATATAATGAATATCAAATACCCTATGTCTAAATGTTTTCAAACTAGCAAAAGTGAACTTAGTTTGGACATATATACAACCTTCTTTATTCCTTTACGCTCCTAATGGAACAGAGGGCTTCAAGCTAGAGACTTGACGTTTCAGTTGCAGGTCTTTGGCGTCTTATTTCTACGGAATAGGTTTCCTAGCCTCATACCCAGCCTAACCTTCCCCCTTTACCAGTCCTAATTACTGGCTTAGCAAGCTATGGGAGTGTGTCCGTGGTCGGGGATCGAACTCCGGACCACCTGAATGGTTGGCGAGCATTCATTCTAACACTGTTCACATTTATAATAGAATTGATTACTCAAAATAATCATTAAAATTACACTGAAATGTAGCTAGATCATAGGCAAAAGATATTTGATCAAACGATGACTACTCACCTTTACTTGGACGTACAAGAGCTGTTATAGAATCTTGAGTGAATTTCAATACTTCTTGAATTTGTCGTCTAAAGAAACTTTGTGATTTTTTAACATACATCTATACAAAGTGGAGAAAACATTGATGAAAGATAGATAGATAGACAGAGAACAATAAAGCGATATTCAACAACAAACCAATGCACATATAATAGAAATAGGATAACTGTTTCGTCCAGCCTTAGACTCTTCAGCAATATGCATATATAATAATAATCAGACATCTGGGCTTAGAAGATCTTTGTCAATGGAAAGAAATGTAGATTTTAGAATTGTGATTTAATACAACAACCTCATGAACAAATGACGACTGAAAGAGAGACAATGGAAAGTTAGGACGCATCAGAGTTCAAAATTAGATTTGTCTGACAGAACATGAACTTTGCACAGGAGCGCAACAGTTCAGGTCTTCACAATCTATAATGTAACGCACGAAGATATAGAAAAAAAGCGAGCAGAAGGACCATACGAAGTCTGCAGGAGAAGAAAAATAATAGCAACATGGAAAAATATGATAGTTTAATGGGTCTAGGATGCCAAAAGAAGTGAGAGCACCATTCAGAACGACGACTCTCAACCATATTCACTACTGGCCTCAAGACATTGATTCATAAGAAGACTCTAGAAGATCTGGATTTGGAGGATTTATGTCTAGTGACACACAAAAGCTCGAAGACAATGAAGATAACCAACCAATGAACAACAGCAACAACAACAACAAGAGCCAGCACCAATTACCATCAACGGGAGAGATTTAACACAGATTACCTCCTCCTTCACTTATCTAGAAAGCAAGCATCGTTTCAACTACAGGCAGACGGAACGGATGAATATGTCAAAGCCGGTCAGTTAGAATCAGAAAGGCAAGATACACACGCCTTCAACAACCTAAAACCAAATTGGAAATATTCTGCACTCAGTCAGTCAGCATAAGGAACAAGATTCAGATTTTCAACACCAAATGTCAAGTCCATCAATCGATCTAAACGAGTTAGAAAATTCCACTGAGTGTCACGAAAAGAATTTCCAATAGGTTGCACACTTTCATCAACAGCTGCCACATTCGCTGATCGGCTCCATCAAATGGCCAGCCAGCCAGAGAGAATCAGTAACTCAGAAACTCTCGCTGGCGACAAACCAACCAAGAGCCGATTGCTCAACAAATATGTAGGAGGAGGAAATGGACATGACCGGGGATACATTGAGGAGATCGTCGAATGACAACGTGCGCCAACCAGGCTATAGCTCGAGTGGAATCAAAATGGGAAGCACGCGACGAGTGGGTCGTCGGTACATATAGGTGACATGAGGGGATTGTGTGAGGGAGACATGAAAAATTCTGGGAAATCGTGGACCCATCATCTAAAGAGTGTAGATGTGTTGTTAAAGGCTTATGTTCCACTCGGAACCTGAGGAAACAATAATAATTGCTTAGATTCATCTAAAGTTAGCTTTTGAAACACAAGTCGAACATTCATGTATCATCCATCGATCAACAGATGTCCAGAATCATGTGTTAACAAGATTATCAGTTCCTGGAGATGATGCTTGCAGATCATTAGGTCCCACTAATTTCCATCGACTTTTAGAAAAGTCAGTATTTTTTTAATATTTCCTATAAAACGACCGAATTGTCTTAGCCGTATGAACGTGAGCCGTTAAGGATCTCTTTTACACTAACCACGAACCTCCATAACCAAAACGAAAACTACCACCCTCATGAATGAAACAGAAGAAAGATCAAACCTACCAAAAAAAGAATGCGAAAGATAAAAAGTGGCAATTCATGATGATCGCATTTATATACATTAGTTAACATGGATACAATTATTATTTGTTTAATTCTACATACTAACGAAGGTGATAATAATTTTCAACTTGATATGAAAGTTTGAAGGTATGAATATAGATTACAAGGGTCTTAGAGACAAGATTACATAAGTAAATTTTATTTTGATAAAGTCTCACAGTGTTACTTACTTTACTTTACTTCGGCTATCTCCTACGGGAGGATGAGCCGGCTTCATGAACCATGAAGTTTCATGGGAATTGGGTACGAGTGATGTCACCAGCATCGCTCGGCCTTTGTTCGAGAGTGCAGCTCTAGCCTTTACACAACCAAGTGTGACCTACAAGGCAGTAGGAGTGGAGTAGGGAGTCCACTATCCATTGGCAGCCGGTGACCGGAGTCCGGTTCATTCGCCTTTTTGAATGGGGCCAGTCATCCAGGGCATCCAATAAGCCCTTTGTCCATACGTCTGCCGGTAAGCTCCGGTGAGCTTCATACGCCAGTCGTTGGAGGTTTGGAATCAGGGTTTAGCCATCTCCCCTAGACTGTCATCCAATGGACAGTCAACCCGGTGAAGAGCGCCGAGCATCCGCTTTTGCCCTCTCACTTTGGTGAAAAACACCTCCGCCACGTGAAGGCAGTGAGTAGGACTTCCTCAGGAGAGGCTATGTAAGACGCTCGGTCATACAGTAACGTTTACTGATGACGTTTCGAGAACAATTTATTGCTCATAAGCATATCAAGGTACTCACACGACTTCCTAACTTCATTTGTATAGTTCCATTATGAATAAAGTTAGGAAGTCATATGAGTACCTTGATATGATTATGAGCAATAAATTGTTCTCGAAATGTCATCAGTAAACGTTACTGTAAACGTTACTTTATCAAAATAAAATTTACCTATGTAATCTTGTCTCTAAGACCCTTGTAATCTATATTCATACCTTCAAACTTTCATATCAAGTTGAAAATTATTTTTACCTTCGTTAATATGTGGAATTAAACAAATAATATTTGTATCCATGTAAACTAATGCCTGTCTGTCTTTTTTCGACATCGAACTTTGCACCAATGTGCATCAGCTCGAGTTGCCACACTCCATGTAGTACACAAAGCAAGAGAAGAAAGTAAAAAGAAATGCAAAATAGAGATAGTAGACAGGAATATGGACAAAAGGAATAGTAGTACCGAAGAACAATATAGTTTCATTGGAAATCATAAGTCACAGGGTGTGGATGCATCTGCGCCATTGCGATCGATTTTAAGCCATATAACCAATTGTTTCCAACCATTGGTTTTTACTGTCCCGAGGACCCCAACCAGGAAGTCTACACCATCCTACGTGACTAGCTTAAACTAACTGTTGTAGATTTCATTGACTGGTGATGCTATGTTTTGGTTTGACCGCCAGTAGCCTTTTCCAGCCCGACCCTATGTCAGTTAACATTACCCGTCGAGATAGGCGATGACTAGACATGCTTAACACATGTTCTTACCATCTCAATCGGTGTAACTTCACAGCCCCGTCGATTGATTTCCCCTACTTACCTAAAACTCGACCGAGGGCTAACCTCAATATCGCTCACCTTATTATACCAATTCACACGGGAGATAGAGTGCACACACCCATGATCAAAGACAGTTAGTCTTTTCATGTCTTCTACTCTCAAAGAACGGGTCTTACAGCCATAAAGGAGGATGAAGTGGACATCTGAGCAGTTCACCCGCCCTTTGGTCGATAGTCGGATATCACGTAAACTAAGCCAGAGATAGCATAAACTGGCATATGCGAAAATAACCCTCTGTATCCGTGCGGAGATTTCATGAAGGATCAACCCGTTGGGGCTGATGGACCTCCGAAATAAGTGAAGCGATCAACGTGCTCTACCATTTCACTCCTTATTTCTAAACTAGGAGTCAGTGTAGTCCAATCCTGTAACATCATCTTACATTTGACAGCACGAGCGAATCGCATGCCAAACATACAAAGATTACAGCTCCAGGTATTCAGAAGACTCTGCACATTGTCAGCATCTTCGCCTAGAAGGACTATATCGTCTGCATATTCTAAGTCAACGAGATTATACCCTGTTAACAAGTCAATCCACGAGTCTCTGAAGTGAGTTAAGGTTAAGTCCATTAGTACATCTATGATGAAATTGAATAGAAATGGGGATAGTGGGCAGCGCATCCCTGACGGACACCACTAGTTGTCACCACTTCAGATGACAACTCGCCGTAAGCCCTCACCTGGTTGACTGCATAAGTTCGAGTAGAGTGAGTGACTTGATCAGTGCAATACATTTTCTCGGCATTCGTCTTACAGCCAACCATTGCCAGAGAACCTCTCGGTCGACAGAATCGAATTCCGTCTTTAACTCAAGAAATATGACGATTGTTCGACGTCAGTAAGAATGCCTATGTTCTAGAATCTGTCGAAGGGTGAGATATGATCAATACACACTCTTTCTGGTTTACATTAGCAATTAGTAGACTAAAGAATATAAATGCGATTGTACAGCTGCTTTTGAGAATAAAAAATCGCTGAAAAGATCGACATCTTGGCTGAACTTCTTGTTCTTTTCCCTCTAAATTCCCAATGGGAATTTTCCACGAATTCATGATAATGCACAGAGAAAAATAAAAACGAAAAGAAAAGGAATACTGAACATTATTATAATTGTTCCCTTGGGTTCCTAGTGGAACATAGGGCTTCAACTGCACGTCTCCACTCGCCACTTCTGTCTTCCTTCTGCTGTACTTTTCACCTGCATCCATGTTAGTCCATACTCTTTCAACTCTTCACACAATCTCCTCCGTGTCACCCTTGCACAGACGTCCCACTCGCCGCGTGATTCCCTTTCGGCCTAGTTCCACTCGAGAAATGGCCTGACGCGCGCGCGATGTCACTCAGCGGCCTTCTCAGCGAGCCCATAACTAGTGATTCTTTCCAGCCATCTGATCTTCAGTATACAGCCAGCGAAGACAGTTGTTGATAATGATAACGTCTGCAACAGGCTGTTGGAAATATTCTTTGTGACTCGCCCGCCAAGTTTCTGATCCCTATAGAAGAACTGACTGACTTGACGTGTTTGTATTGAAGATCCAACCGAATTTTATTGTTGATGCTGCCTGAGTGACGAAGATTTCCAGATTGGTTTGAGGTTGATGAATGTGTTTCTCGCCTGCCTTCCCGATTCTCGCTCGATTTGATATCCTCGTCCGTTCAGACTGCCTGTATTTGAGACAATTCTCCCTAGATAAGTGAATGAAGTAACCTCTTTCAAATCCCTCCCGTTGATGGTGATTGGCGCTGGATGTTGCTGCTTTTGTTGTTGTTGGTTGGTTGGTTCTTTTCATAACCTCCGTCGTGTTCACCTATGTTCACCTGAAGTCCTGTCTTCGCCGGCTGCTTCTTCGACCAGTTTGTCGGTATTCGCTTGTAAGTCTTCGATTTTGTGACAGTGACATCAAACATAAATCATCTACGCACAAAATCCAGGTCTTCTAGGTTATTTACGTCGGTCCAGGATATCCCTGTCTTCTCGTTTCCCACTGGCTGACGCATAATCCAGTCCACCACAATTAGGAATATCATTGGTGATAATACGCACCCTTGTCTGACTCCTGTGTTTACTCCAAACGCCTCTCTGAGTTTTCCATTGTGGATGACTTGACATGTGCCGTTGTCGTACAGCTGCTGAATAAGATTGATGAATATTTGGGGTACACCGTAGGACTCGAGTAGTTTCCAAATTACTTCGCAGTCAACGCCGCCTTCTCAAAGTCTATAAAGTTGAGTTAGATGTTTGATCGCCTAGATTACTAGCTCGCTAGTTTTCTAGCCGGTTTCAAGCGCGGATAAAGAGGGAGGGTTGGGGCGTGGTGCTAGCGACTCCACCCTCAAAACTCAACCAAATCGCTACAGAAACTTTAACGCACAAATATATTTTAAAAAAATACTAAATATTATAGATAAAAGAAAAAAATAGCACGGGTAAAGAGAACACACACAATTACCCTTTTAATTTCAATATATAAATCTTTTCTATTTGTTTGTAACCAATTGCCAATAAGTGGTGCTAACTGCAAGAGATTAGTACGTTGTGTTGCGTACAACTCGGAGGCGACATGATACGAGTTGGAGACAATTAAAGAGTGTTTCTTTTTCTCGAGTGTAGCGCTACTACCACCGGCAGTAATAGTACTTCCAGGATTGCCATTTATTGTTGACGAAGTTGGTGAATCATTCAGCGATGGTAGATTGACACCAGTATTCACGATAAAACCAAGTTGACTAGCAAATCGTAACATTGTATCATTTACATAACCGGAGAGTTTCACAGCGAAAGCATCACGTAAATTTCTCAACTCTCCCATTCTTTCTTCTACGGCTTGAAGATGTTCTTCACCTGTATTTTGTTTTGAGGGGGGGGGGTAGGAGTGAAGGAATAGCAAAGTTGAAAATAAATGAGCTTATTAATTTTATTTTAGAGTATATATATATATCCAAACCAAGTTCATTCTTATCAGTTTGAAAAAATTTGGGCATCGGGTGGCATATGATATTCATTACAATAAAGGTTGTCCATTTGTATTTCCCAATGAATGAATGAAAAGGACAAAACGATATTGTTATTGTGTTTACTGACGTTTCGTTATTTCAAATGTTGCTGCTGATAGATTTATCAAAGTAGTATCATTAAACCAGAATTTACAAAATCTCAGCTTATATATACAGTGACTTAATCATCGTTCCTCAGCATGGGGTCATTTTTTGGGTTGTCAAGTTGGCTAATTGGTAAGGATAACAAAATCAGAAGTGCTTTGGCAGGGGATCGAACCCCGGACCATGTGCATGATCGGCGAAAGTCCTAACTGCTGTACCACCGACGCACAATACTGGGAGGGCCATAAGGCCCCCGCAATGACAAAAACTACACGCCCTAAAACAATCGCGAGTTTCAACCCACACGGGGACAGAGCATTCTTGATCACCGTGAACCCGGGCCAGGTAAGTTTTTCTTGATTTTCTCAATAAACGGTCTGTTACCTGGCCCTCGTTTCGAACCCTGACAGTGGAATGCATATCATTGAAGAAATGCGATCACTAGGATGAAACAACTGTTTGAAAAACAAATCAAATACACCCACCCACCCCCAACAAACTAACTTCTGAAAATTAATCAATAATTCTCAGTTTGAGAGATATGTGCATAGAGCAGTATGCTTTCTTCACTCCTTTAAGAATGGAGAGCATAAGGTCTTGAACTTTAAGCTTTGCAATCGTCGTAGAACACTTGTATTTTCACAAAAAAAGGTGAAGTTGCTGACTTCACGCCCAACTTTTCCTCTTTTGACAGTTTACTGTCTATCACATATATTGTGATTAATGCTGAAAATTCCATCCTGTATCACAAGTACTGTTTTTGGAATAAATTAAATCATTATTATTATTATTATTACCACATATCTGTCTGTCTATCTCTTTTCAATATCGATGTGCAGCAGATCAAGTCGCCCACCACATTCCACCCCGTGTAGCACGCAAACCAAGAGAAGAAAGTAAAGAGAAATGCAAAATACAGACAGTAAACAGAGACATGAGACAAAAGGAATAGTAATAACGAAGAACAATATAGTTTCATCGGAAATCATAAGTCACGAGGAGTGGATGCATCTGCACCATCTATTGAGAACGATTTTGAGCCAGCCATATCAACAATTGTCTCCAATTGTTATTGGTTCTCATCATCCCCAGGACATCAACCAGTCAAGAAGTCTACACCTTCCTACGTGGCTGGATGGATTAAACTGACAGTTGTGGATTTCATATACTGATGAAGTGGTTAGTGGGGCGTGTTGACCATTTCACTTATTTGGGAAGTTGCATCAGCCAACACCAACGGTTTGATCACTGACGAAATTTCAACACATATATAGATGGCCAGTTTCGCATATGCCATTTTACGCCGTCTCTCGCTTAGTAGACGTGATATCCAGCTGACTATCGATCAAAGGACGTGTGTACTGCTCAGTGGTTCACTCTGTCCTCCTTTATGACTGTGAATGAGACATGCCCATTGAGAGTGGAAGACATGAAAAGATTAGCTGCCTTCGATAAAAGGTGCCTGCGTTCCATCTCCCGTGTGAAGTGGTATAATACGGTGAGCGATATTGAGGTTAGGCATCGGTCGACTGAAATGGTTAGGACATATGTTACTCATGCATTCCTAGCCATCGCCTTCCTCGATGACGGGCAGTTTTAGCTGACATAGGGTTAGTTTAGAAAAGAGTCACCTGACCTTATGTCAGATAACATTGCCCGTTGTCGAGGGAGGCGATGACAAGGCATACGTCACACATGTCCTAACCATCGCCTCAGTTGATGTAACTTCACAGCCTCATCGATTGATTTCCCTTCCCCCCTTACCAACTAGCACTCGACCGACGCCTAACCTCAATATTGCTCACCCTATTATACCACTTCACAAGGGACATAGATGTGCATCACATCAAAGCGAGGTTAGGAAAGTGCATCATCCTTCAGGAATCGAATCCAGACTACGTGTATGGCTGATGAACATTCTGAGTTTAGAAAATAAAAACCACGACCCACACACACACACGCACGCACACATGTTGAGTAGTAAAAATTCTCAAAAACGTAAATACACATGAGTGATTGGAAAGGCCTATTATTACACGTACATTAATCGATTTACTCTTAATGATCATTGAAGAAATTCACGTTAACACACTACTCCATGTAAAATATTATTATTATTAAATGTGAAATTAGTGAAAAGTACATTAATAAATATAGTAACAATGGAAACAATACATATTATTACTATTATTATCATTATTATTATTATTATTAAGGATACTCTGTTCTATGGAATATTGATTGTTTATTTTACATCACATTCTGTGTGAAATTTCAAAAGTGAACAAAGCCTGATGTTGCATGCACAAAAATAAATTTGTTGAGAATTACTATTATTGACTGACTGACTGCATTCAACATAGAATTTGGCACAAATGTGCAGCAGTGCCAGTTGCTACACTCCCTCCACATATAGCACAAAACCCAATGGAAGAGTATAAAGGGAGATTCATCAAAAAAGAGAATAGTACTATGGAAGAACAATAGAATCTTCTACGATATAACAAATCACAAAGAATGATGAATGCATCTGCACCAGCCACCAACACCGAGAATGTCTGTCTGTCTGTTTTCGACATAGAACTTTGCACAAATGTGCGGAAGTTCAAGTCGCCACATTCCGTGTAGCACGCGAAGCAAGAGAAGAAAGTACAAGAAAAGCATAATAGAAACAGTGAGCAGAGGTGTGAGACAAAGGAGTAATAAAGAAATACAAAACAGTTTCATTGAAGATCATAGGTCACAGGGAGTGGATGCATCTGCGCCACTGAGAACGGTTTTGAGCCATGTCACCAATTGTTTCCAGCCATAGATTTTTACCGTCCCGAGGACCCCAGCCTGGAAGTCTACACCTTTCTATGTGGCTTAGACCAACGATTTTGAAAGTCATATCATCATTTATCTCGAGCTATTGGTGTTAACCGTCCCGAAGACCCCAACCAGTCAAGAAGCCTACACCTCTCTAAGTGGCTGGCTCAAACTAACTGTTGTGGATTTCATTGACTGATGAAGCCATGCTTTGGTTTGACCACCAATGGCTAACTCTTTTCCAACCTGATCCATTCTATGTTAGCTAACATTGTCCGTCGAGGAGGGCGATGGTTAGGCATGAGTAACACATGTCCTAACCATCGCCTCAGTCGATATAACTTCACAGTCTCGACAATTGATTTACCCTCCTTACCAACTAGCACTCAACCGATGCTAACCTAACACAAATATCCTTCATCCCACAACGCCACGTCATTGACTGACCATCTCTCTGCCTTTTTCATCGCATCTCAGGGCTAGCGAACAAGAGACCTGTACAGAAACTTCTGGGATGACATTCGCAGCACATGTCCAAGCCACCAAAGCCGGTGTTTCTAGATGACAATACTCAACAAATGGTGACCTCCACTCTGTTCAAAAACACATGCCTCTGAACCTCAGAATTACTCATGCGACGATGCCATCGAACGCAAGCAAACATGCGGAGACAGCAATGATCGAATATAAAACAACTTAGGCACTGACCAGTTACCAGGGTTATGCCGTATCCACTCAAATCCTACTGTTTTCCCATGTTATTTCCTTTTGGCGTCGGTAACACAGCGGTAGATTGCTCGCCGACCACGTGGGCGGTCCAGGGTTCAATCCTCGGCAACTGACGCACTGCTTTACTTCGCTAAGTCTGTAGTAAGACTGGTAAAGCAGGGAAGGTTAGGCTGAGCATGAGGCAGACTAGCAACCCCATCCCGTAAAAATAATCACCACTGCTACAGAAACTTCCAGCCTCTAGCTTGAAGACGCCTTATGCTCCGCTGGGAACTTATAGGAAATTTAAAGAAAAACTGTTCTTTCGAGTCTGTTTTTTTTATCTTCCTTTGTGTTACAGGAAGTGTGGTAACTCGAACTGTCGCATGTCCGTGCCAAATCCTGTGCTGAAACAAGTCAGTCAGTCAGTCACTCTAGCAACTGGAAGGGAAACCTGTAAAAAGAGGCCTAACAAGGAGTGATCGGGATATATATATATATATATATATTCACTAAATTTTACAGCTGGATCATTTTAGACCGAAAACGTTGACGTCTTAGGTTCAAATATCAGTAGGGACACCACCGCTCCCCCCCCTACAATTGGGTAAATTGCAGATACAGTCACCTGACGAGTCTCAGACGGGAAGAAATGCGTACCCTTGCTTCCACCGCTATTCACCTCCCCTCTCACCCATCCAATATATTATTATTTTCTTTAATTCCTAAAGGAACATAGGGCTTCAGATGCGCACCTCCATTGCCTTCTGTTTTCTGCCAACTTTTTCACCCCTCTCCAAGTCTGCCCACATGCTTTCATCTCCTCTTCACATGACCACCTCCAAGTCACCCTTACAATGACAACCAACTTGCCGCTTCCCTTTCGGGTTCCACTCGAGCGATGGTTTGTCTAGTGATGTCACTTGATGGTTTCCTCAGAGTATGGCCAGCCAATCCACCTCCATTTCTCCCTCCATATTTGCTGCACAATCGGTTCCTGGTTGGTTCGCTCCCAGAGATCCCTGTTGCTGATATTTTCTGGCCATCTGATATTGAGTATTGAGCGAAGACAACTGTTAATGAAGGTCTGTAGTTTGTTGGAGATGCTCTTCATGACGCGCTGGCCAAGTCTCTGATCCGTATAGTAGAACTGACTGACTTCACATTGGAGTTGAAAATTCGGATGTTATTTTCTTACATGCTGAGTGCTGTTGACCTCCACACAGATTTGAGAGTAATGAAAGCTCGTCTTGCTTTTCCGATTCTGGCTTTGATATCCTCGTCAGATCCGCCTGTAGTTGAGACGATGCTTCCCAGGTAGGTGAAGGAGGCTGTTTCTTTCAGGTTCCTCCCATTTATGCCGGCTGATTGTTTTCTGTTGTTGTTGCTGCTGCTGTTGCCCAGGGATTCTCATCACCTCTGTTTTCTCTATGTTCACCTGAAGTCCTATCTTCTCCGAATGCTTCTTCGATCGCCAACTTGTTGCTTTTCACTTGCATATCTTCCAGTTTGTGGGAAATCAGACACATATATCATCGGCGAAGTCCAGATCCTCCAATTTTTTTGTGTGTGTACCATTAACAGCAGGTTAATCCTCAGACAAAGTATTCGTACTAAAGCGTCGGTGGAAGACAAGACACTTGGTAAAGGTATGTTTATATTAAATTTGGTATCTTTAATATAGCGGAATTATTATACACCTTATCTACGACAAGCCATCTGCGCAGATCTTTCGAGTTGCGCCTGATACTCCTGGCCTTCATATTGTGTTCCTTTCACAAAGCTGTATCGTCATTTGCTTTCTCTGACGCCAAATCTATCTCCATGGTATTTGATGTTTTTTGCCGGTCGATGAAAATCTTTTTACATATACATACTACTAATAAATCTTATCAGTAGCACACGTCACACCAAGAGCCAACACGTCAACAAACAGACTGAACAAATTCACTCAAATATAACAACAAAAAAACTCAAATGAAACACACAGAGAGAGAATTTTTCAAAACGCACACACACACACTCACCTGGCTTGAAGCCAGAATTCATAATACGATCTAAATAGGCAGCTGCTTCTATACACTGTGTCACACCTTCTTGGGTATTTAAATCGCCTTCAATTAATACACGTAGATATTTTGGATCAACATTTAAACTATTGATTAATTCTTCTAAAACTTTCAGCAGATTTACACGATTATCAACTGTGGTTTGAATTAATTGATCATGATCACGTAGAGTGGCCATAGCATCTTCAACTTCCTGAAAATTAATAAAGAAGGTTGACGTGACTGACTGTCTGGTTTCAACATAGAACTTTGCAACAATATGCAGCAGTTCAAGCCGCCACAATCCATGTAGCACACACAAAAAGAGAAGAAATGCATAATAGAGACAGTAAACAGGAATATGAGACGAAAAGGAATAGTAACAAAGAAGAACAATATATTTTCATTGGAAATTATAAGTCACAAGGAGAGGATGTATCTGCACCTGCCATTGAGGAAGATTTTAAGCCATATCACATACTGTCTCAACCTTCATTGATTTTTATCGTCCGTCAACCAGTCAGGAAGTCTACACCTTCCTACATGGCTAGCTCAAACTAACTGTTGTGGATTTCATTGATTGATGAGGCCATGTTTTGGTTTGACTACCACTAGCTAAGTCTCCAACTGACCCTATGTCAGCTAAACTTACTCGTTGTCGAGGAAGGTGATGCCTGGGAATGCATGCGTAACACATGTGATAACCATCTCAATCGATGTAAGTTCACAGCCTCGTCTATTGATTTCCCCTCCTTACCTACCACTCGACCGGTGACTAACCTCAATATTGGTCACCCTATTATACCTATTCCCACAGGAGACAAAACGCAGACACCTATCACCAAAGACAACCAGACTTTTCATGTCTTCCACTTTCAATGATACCGCCCACTGCCTTGCGGATTAGCCTCCAAGTCTAAGTTCCGGTGGGGGGGGTTCCCCTAAGACAACCATCTGATTCAGACTGGGCACCCGGGCGGTATCCCAACCCTTTGACTGACAACTAACTAATACGATGCGCATATTCCAAATTCGACGGATAGAATTCAGTCTACACCAAACAGAGGACTGGACACATGACACCAACCACTATCTAGTGTCCAATCAAAGTGACTAATACAATCCTACAGGAGACAAATCGCAAGCCTGAATAGCTGGACTCGATGGTAACGTCTCTACCTGCACCACTGACTGACACAGCTTCGAACTTCCGAAGAAGGGACATAACTTCCGTCAAGATTGCAGTTACGTCTTTCCGACTGACGAGTGCCAATATGCACGAAGCCTAAGTTCAAGACTTCCCAACAATTGCATGAAACCATCTTTTATTGGATGGATATATCGACTTCTTTTTCATTCTTATTTAGTTACGTCATCATCTGATCAACGTCATGACTCGTGTCTGACATCGAACTAAGCGAGCCCAACTCCCGATACTTTATCACATATTATTGACGTACTAACTATTTTCTAATGACTTATTATTAGTATTCTTCTTATTATTATTATGCGTCGGTGGCACAGTGGTTGGGACTCTCGCCAATCATGCACGTGGTCCGAGGTTCGATCCCCTGCCGACGACACACCTGATATCTATGGTCGGCCTGCAAAATTTGGGTTACCGATATCACATGCTGAAAATTCCATCCTTGTACCAAAATTACGGTGTGGAATCAAGGTGTAATCAAAAAAAATTCCCTTGAGCTCCGAGTGGAACATAGGGCTGGCTTCAACAATACATCTACACTATGCTCTGTTTCCTGCCGTCCTCTTCAGTTGCGTCCACGATTGACCATAATAACTCTCTCATCACTTCCTCACACGATCTCCTCCATATCACCCTAGGACGACACACTCATCGACATAACCGCTTCTATGTACATATATCAGTTTACCTGCTGCTGTGGAATAAGCCAGGTACATCGGTCATTCGACGCGCACCCTGCGTCCATAAGGATTCAAGAACACGATCCAGCCGATAGTGGTGCAATAAGGGGTGCGATAATTGAACACCTGGTTAACACACTGATCATTCCATCTCAACAACAAACGCCACCTGCTTCAAAGTAATCGACAGAATCAAGAATAACCTACCAAAGGCAATACGGTTTCGTCTTCTTTGTATCACTGAAGCTCTAACCATTCACACAGAAAAACCGGAGCTGTGCATACAAAACAGAATTACTCAACCACTTTGTAACAACTCATCATCATATAAAGTATCTTTTTTGACACGGACTGCGCCTCTTGCTTTTGGATTTTCTGTTTGATGTTTTTGTTTATGAATCTTGATGGATAACCGTTTTGTATGAAGATTTCTTTCACGAAGTGTAGTTCTTCTTCCTCCAGGGTATCAGAGCTGCAGATGCGTCAGACGTGAATGACAACAGATCTAATTAGGTTTCTTTTCCGACTTATTGGTACCCGGCTGTAGAAGCTTTTCAAGTTGGCCGTTCCATGGAAAGAGATTCTTCGCTGAACTACTGGTCTTCTGTCTATTAATTATCCATGAATAACCAAAGGAGTCCATGAAGTCGAGGGAGAAAAGGAAAATTACTCGCCGTCAACATTGCCTTGTAGTAGACGTTGGAATTCTTGCACTGACCATTGGATAGGGGATCCCAAGGGCTCACCATGAAACTGGGAAGGTGGTTGAGTTCGAACCCCAAATGGGTATAGGTACTGTTAAACAATCCCACACAAAAGCGATACAGATGTCTAGTATTCTTCACTCTACTGAATGATCCTGTCTAACTGACATCAGCCTATTGATCAGACAGACAGGTAACTCAATCAATCAATGAATCAATAAAAAATAGAAAATAGCTCACCTCTAAAAAATGATAATAATTATTTAATTGTTTCTCTAATAATTCCGCTCGTTCAATAGCACTATCCAATGTTGACATAAGACTTAATACTTGTGATTCAGACGCCATAATTGAATGAACATTGGTCTATAATATAATATAGCCAATAAAAATTAATTAAATAAAATAGAGTTTAAGATAAAAATTCGCCGTGGCATTTACTTTGAGAACTGAAATTATTCTTTAATCATTATTATTATTATTATTAATTAAAAGTCAATTTGAACGAAGAATATTCTTTTCAATAATTTCTCGTCTTCAGGAAAACTTTCTACTCCTTCAGTAGATGGCCAATGTTCACCCAGCAACTCAAAGATGTCTTACCTAAACTTAGCTCTTCATCATGCATACACCATTTCCACTGTTCTTGTGGTTCAAGTTATATGGCGTACAGGATTCGAGAACATTTGCCAGTGTGGTTTAGCAAGGGGGGTCGTCCTTATGTACGTGTCTCCGCATATACATGTAAATTGATAAACACAGTGGGATGTGACACTATCGTTCGGATAATCTGAGGGTTTACAGGACAGCATAGTTCTCGTTTTCTCTACAAAGATAAGCTTAGCTGCATAATAGGTTTTATTCATTGCGGCTTTGAGTCTTTGTGTAGTGACCAGACTTTGTTGATCATCCCTGAACAACAAGGATATGTAAACATCTTTTTTGGGAGCTGATTGGATTGGTAAAGCTCTATGGTTGACACTCCCTTAACGTCTAATAAATCTCAGCGGGTAATTGTTATCTAGCAGTATTTCAGTGAAATCGCCAGACACAATTGACCCCGGAAATAGATGTCCAACATCATCTATAACGAAGCATATTATAGAGACGGATCATAAGGTTGATTTCAACAATCCTTTAGGCCGATATACAAAACAAGATTGGGTCACATACTTAAATTCATTGAGGCCTTAGCCATAAAAAGACTTAAACCTGTCTTATGTGTCTAAAAGTTATTTGTTATCACCTTAAACCTGCCTTGGTAATCTAAGCTAGAACCAAGGACGAATTTACTTCATAATATTTTCAACTCCTTCTTTCTTTGTCTTGTTTTTACTCTTTTCTCTTTCTCACCCACACCTTTTGCGTCTCCCTAATCATTATTTGTGGCCTTGACCTGTAAACAATCTGACCTGTATTGTAATTATTCATGCCTTTTTGCCTTCTATTAAAAACTGTGTATGATATGTACGTGTGTGATCAGAATGTTCGAAATGTGTTGCGCCAATACATTACACGTTTCAGATAAACCACGTCATCTTATTGCGTTGTCGAAATTCATAAAGGGAACTAATTGCTTTAAAATAAGTTCACTAGGCACACATATAGTCCGGGTTCAATTTTTCCGGTCGACACACTCTTAACGTCGCCTAGTTTACTAGCCGCTAGTGAGCCCGGAAAGGAGAGCATTCGTTGGCCATATGACTAGCTAACAACAGCTTTTTTCTACAAACAACACCATCGCCAATGAGATTTTATACGTCGAAGTTTTCTGTCCTAAGTTCTACTCGGTGCCACATCATGGGCTCATCAGCTCTCCGGCTTCCCCATCCAGTCCCAGTGCTAGAGAACACAGCAAGCCACTGGGATGACATTCGTAGCAAATGTCCAACCCACCGAAGCCCATGTTTTGAGATGACAGCCATCGTGCTCTCAAATACATGCTTTATGACCTCAGAACTACTTTTACACGATGATGCTATTAGAAACAGGCATTAATACGGGGAAACACTAGTCACCAAACACGCAGAGCTACTATACATCCTCAGATCGCAAAAAAGACCAGGTTTCACAAGTGTAAAGCAATACTGTGCATAACATAGTATTGTAAACTCGATCTATGAAGGTTAGGCTGATGTCTGTCTGTCTCTCTGTCTGGATTCAACATAGAACTTGGCACCGAAGTGCACCAGTTCGAGTTGCCACGTTCCAAATAGCACACAGAGGTAGACAAGAAGATGAGTGAAGAGAATCAATACAGTTTGACAAGTATAAGAGTGAAACAGAATGGGTAATGGTAGAAAGGAATATGAAAGATTACAGAGACTGAATACATCTGCGCTGGCCATTGACAACGATTTTGAGCCATGTCACCTATTGTCTCCAGCCATTGATTCCTAGAGTCCCGAGGGCCCCAACCCGGGAGTCTGCATCTCCCTACCTGACTCAGTTTAACTGTCAAGGATTTCATGGATTGATGCCATGTTTTTGTTTGGCCACCACTGGCTCTTTTCCAACCTGAACCTATATCAGCTAGTAATGCCCGTCGGGGGAGGCGGTGGTTAGGCATGCGCAGCACGTGACCTAGCCATCTTAGTCTATGTAACTTTATAGCCTCGTCGATTGATTTTCCCTCTTTGCCCAACACTCTACGCCTAACGTCAACATTACTTACCTTGTGAAACCACCTAACGTGAGACAGAGATCGCAGACATCTATGATCGAAAGCAGTCAACCTTTTCATGTCTTCAACGCGTATTGGCCATGTTTCAGAGCCATAGAGAAGGACGGAGCGAACTGATGAGCAGTACACACGTCCCTTGGTTGATAACCGGATGTCACGCCTACGCCAGAGATGGTGTAAGTCAGCGAAAGCAGCTCGAGCTTTTCGGATCCGTGCTGAGATTTCATCGCCAATCAGTCCGTTGGTGCTAATACAACTTCCCAAATAGGTGAAGTGGTCAACATGTTCTATCACTTCACTCCCTATCACTAAGTTAGGAGTTGACGTGTCCAGTCCTGTAGCAGCATCTTACATTTTGCAGGGGCGAATCGCATGCCAAACATACGAAGATTGCTGCTCAAGGTGTTCAGAAGACTCTGCATTTTGTCAGCATCCTCCCCTAACAGGACTATGTCATCTGCATATTCTAAGTCCATAAGACTATTCCCTGGTAACAAGTCGATTCCTAAGTCATTACGTTCAGTTAAGGATACTTCCATTAGCATATCTATGATGAAGTTAAACAGAAATGGGGAAAGTGGACATCCCTGTCGGACACCACTGGTTGTTACCAATTCAGATGACAATTCCCCATAAGCCCTTACACGACTACGTGAGTTTGAATAGAGTGCCTTGATTAGTGCAATGTACTTTCTTGGCACTCCCTTCACAGTCAGACATTGCCATAGTACCTTTCGATCCACGGAGTCGAAGGCCGCCTTCAAGTCAAGAAATATGACAATTGTTGGACGCCGAAAAGTGTGTCTATGTTCTAGAATCTGTCGAAGAGTGAAGATATGATCTATGCACCCTCTACCTGGTCTAAAGCCTGCTTGATTTTCCCTTGTCTGTTCCTCCCGAGTTCTGCTTAGTCTATGCATGATTACTGAGCCTAGGATTTTAGAGACTATGTTCGTTAGGCTGATCCCCCTATGATTATCACACGAGGACTTGTTTCCCTTCTTGAATATCGGTATAATAAGTGACTTACCCCAGTCTGATGGAACTGTCTCTGATTCCCAGACTTTGCCTAGTACCTCAGTTAATCTACAAACTAGTATGTCACCCCCATATTTAAACACCTCCGGAATAATTCCGTCGGGTCCTGCCGCTTTGCCTCGTTTCAAATTACTGATAGCTTTTGTAACCTCACTACAGACGGCGGACCAGTGTCTATATCCCATTCGGGTGTGGTGGATGTCGGGGAGGTTCAGTGTGGCTGTAGGCAAGTTAAATTGTCCCTCAAAGTGTTCTTTCCAGCGTTCAAGGCGTCTATCCTGAGAGCTAATTAAGGAGCCATTTTTCTCAGAAATAGTCTCACTTATGATTGCCTTCTCCCACCCGTTTCTGATGAGTCTAAAGAGTTGCCTAGTGTTGCCTATCGCCGATGCTTTTTCCATCTCTTTCGCCTTTGTCACCCACCACTGTTCACGGTCCTTGCGGAGACTTTTAGTAAGTTTCCTTTTGTGCAGCTTTCGCTCCTCATTGAATTCGGAGCTCGCCGGAATAAGTCTTCTAGCATCTATCAGTTCGGATGAGGCAGTCGAAATCCAGTGGTTTTTACTCACCTTTGGATTTGCCTTATTCACAGCTTTTACAGCTGTATCTATAGCTGACTGAATATTCTTCCAGGCTTCTCCAGGGTGAGCACAGCTGTCGAATTCAGATATGCGTTTAGCTAGTTCTTCCTCAAATAGGGATTTAGTTTCCTGATCGAGCTGGGGACGTGATGGTTTTACCGCCAGCGTCCGTTCAGTCGTAAGCACACACGAGCCCGGACCAGTGCGTGATCGGTATCTACACACGTGTTCCAGAAGGAGCGACAATCTCCTACCGACCCACGCCAACGATAGCTTATTGCTATGTGGTCTATTTGTGTCCAGCGTTGGTTTGATGATGGGGGTCGCCAGGTTAAACAGTGTCTCTCCTTGTGTTTAAAGTTAGTGCTTACAAGAAACAAATGATTATCTGAACAGAACTGTAGGAGACGGTCACCGTTGTCGGTTCGCTGGCACGGAACTCCATAGGTGCCACCGACATCCTTCTCAGATTGACACAATTTCCCTACTTGAGCGTTAAAGTCACCAGCTAGAACGACTATATCTGAGCGTTTAGCCTTTCTCACCAAACTAGACAGCTTTTGGTAGAACTCATCCTTCGTTTCATCCGAACTGCAGTCAGTGGGGGCGTAGGCGGAGATTACGAAAAGGCATCGGCGAGTAGTGCAGTCCTTTCTCCTTCTTACTGATCCGTTCAGACGGACAGCACACATTCGGCTATCTACCGGGATCCAGTCAAGTAATGTCTTTTCTGCCCTAGTACTCAAAGCTATCCCTACGCCAGCTAATCCTCGTGAACTAGCTGTGGCATCTCCTGACACCCTCAAGGTGAATTTTGAAGATTCATCCTGTTGGCCAGGTGGGGTTAGGTGAATAACCACACTTGGGTCTGGACTGGACGCGTTTCAACAAACAACTTTCCACTGATGTGCAACAGTTCGAGTCGCCACGCTTCACTCAACCACACAAAGCAAGAGAATATAGTAAAAAGAAATGCAAAATAGCGACAGTAAGCGAAGAAATGAGGCAAAAAGAATAGTAATGTCGAAGAACAATATATTTCCATTGGAAATTATAAGTCACAAGGAGTGGATGCATCTGCGCCCAACCAGTGAGAAAGATTTTGAGTCATACCACCGCTTGTCTCCAGCCAATGGTGTTTGGCGTCCAGGGAACCCTAACCACGAAGTTTACTCTTCCCTATGTGGCTTAAACTAACTGTTGCAGATTTCATTGACTGGTGAGGGCATGTTTTGTTTTAACCACCAATGGCTCTTTTCCACCTGATCCATTTTAAGTTAGCCAACATTTCCCGTCGAGGAAGGCGATCGATAGCTACGAATGCACGAGTAACACATGTCCTAACCATAGCCTCATTCGATGTAACTTCACAACTTCGCCGATTGATTTACCCCTCCCCCTTACCTAGCACTTGATCGATGCCTAACCTCAATATTGCTCACCTTATCATACCACTTCAAACGGGAGATAGAACACAGGCACCTATGATCAACGACAACTAGCTAGCCAGCTTTTTCATGTCAATGACCAGGTCTCACAGCTATAAAAGAGGACAGAGCGAACTGCTGAGCAGTACACACGCTCTTTCGCCGATAGTCAGTCGGTTATCACGTCTACGCCAGAGATGGCGTAAACTGACATACGCGAAACCAGCCTTCAGTATCCATGCTGAGATTTCGTCAGCGATCAACCCGTTGGTGTTGGCTGATGCAACATGCTCCACTAACCACTTCACTCGTATCTGTCTTTAAGCTAGGAGTGAGTCGATGTAGTTCAGTCCTGTAGCATTATCTTACATTTGACAGCACGAAAGAATCGAATGCCAAACTTTCGAAGATTGCTGTTCTTCAAAGTATTCAGAAGACTCTGATGTATTTTGTCAGTGTCTTCGCCTAGAAGGGATGACTATACCATCTGCATATTCTAAATCGACGAGACTACTATTCCCTAGGCTGATGTCACGTCTCACACTCATGTTCACTTGCCCATAGTAAAAACCAACTTGTTTACAAAGTAACATAGACTTACACCTTCAATATGTGCTAATTGTTGTTGTAAACGTTCTGTTAATTGAGCAGCATTGAACAGTGTTGATTCATTATCAAGTTCATCTAAAAATTGACGTATATCATCTTCTTCACGTTTAGTCAATGAACGATAACCATCAGATAGTGGTGAACCAACCTCGCCAACTTTATTTGTATCTGAAGGACGTTCACCATCGCCACCAGCACCATCTCCACCTCCAGCAGTACCACCACCACCTGTAACTGATGAATCCTCCGCATCAGGATCTAAAAATAAGGCGAAGGTTGGAATGTTTCAATGCATAGGCAAAGTTAACAATAATAATAATAGTTATATGACTATTAACAATCCGTATGTATTAATCACATTTGTAATTCCTTGTTTATATACTTCGACCAAATTGATTTTTGGCATACGACAGCTCCTCCAACGGATAAATGGCTAAAGATATTACCACAATTAATAGTTCAAAGTTCCTCATTTTTTTATTCAAATGTTAATTCGTTATCTGTTAGCTAAAATCGGTAGACAGCAATTTAAGTCCCAGATATGGGTTATGAGAAAAACAAGAACAAAGCCTTTGCGTGGGCGGATACGATTAGCAGATATATGGTCTGACTTTCAGGCACAAAGAGATGACAGAATAACCTTCATCAGGAAAACAACCAATCAGAAGACGTTGCTTCTCTGCTAACTATAACGCTAATAATAATGTACATAAAAATTATAAATATCTGTTGATTTTCTCAATAAATGATCTGTTTCCTGGCCCTTATCATCTGTCGTTACATTTGGTGTCACTGCATATCGACAAATGGAAAATCCTATGACGGAGACATATGGATCTTCGGGCAGGACTTCGAGGCTTTTGCACAGTGGAGTGGCGTTCAAGCTCTATCAGCAATCACGCTGTTAGTTGGAACGCTGCTAAGAGGTCAGATGAAAGCAGCATATGAACGGTGAATGAGCGCCAGGGTCAGACAAACAGCATTCAAAGTGGGACGGACCAAATATGGTCACTTTGAGACGGGGTTACGTAGACACAATCGCAATGGTAAACAAAGAGAAACAGATGAACGTTAGCGAGCGCATAGCGGTTAGGACGCTCGCCGACCATGCACATCGTTCGGCGTTCGATCCATTATTTATAATACTTTGAGAAAGCTATTAGCAGCATTAAATAGCGGAACATCAATAAAAAACAATATCGTTTTGTTTTTCATTCATTGGGAAATACAAAAACCTTTATTATAATGATGTATTTTTCCTTAAATAGAGGTCCGTTACCATGTCTTTTATCTTCTCCCGCTAAAATATGATCAAACCTCTTGACCTGAAAGAGGAGTTCGATTCCGTCGGACGAGAGATACCATGGTTGTTTGGTCGTAAAGGTATGCCACGAAAATACATTGCAGTGATTAAAAGCACTTACTATACTCGAATTCATGCAGTCAGATAAGAGCTTACAGAGAGTTATCATCTGCAGAGATGGCGACCAGTGGAGTCCATCAGGAATGCCCTGCCCACTATTCTCATTTCTATCCAATTTCATCACAGATATTTGTACCAACGGACTTAGCCCTGATTGAATCACAGAATATGCGGATAATATAATCCTCCCTACTACGTAAAGACGCTGACTACAATGCAGTCTTCTGAACACCCGGAGGAGCAGCAATCTTCGAATATTTAGTATGCGATTTACTCCTGCTTTCAAATGTAAGATAAAGCTACACAGGACCGTACTACATAGACTCCTAACTTTTTTAAAGATAGGTACGAGTGAAGTGGTACACCGTGTTGACCACTTCATACTTATTTGAGAGGTTGCATCAGCGAATCACAGAGGGTTAATCGGTGACGAAATCTCATCACGGATACAGAAGGCTCGTTCGACATATGCCAACTTACGCCATCGCTGGCTCAGTAGACGTGATATTCGATTATTGACCAAAAGATGTATGTACTGCTCAACAGCAGTTCACTCAGTCCTCCTTGAATGAAACTGGAAGATATGAAAAGTCTGGCTAGCTGTCTTTTATCATAGGCGGTTTCGTTCTATCTCACATGTTAGGTGGTTTACTAGAGTGAGAATATTGACGTTAGGCATAGGTTGAGTGCTAGGTAGGGAGGGAAAATCAATCGATGAAGTTGTGAAGTTATATCGATTAAGGCTATGGCTAGGACAGGTGGTACGCACGCATTCCTACTCATCGCCTTCCTCAACTGAGAATGTTAGTTGACAGTACATCGACCAGGTTGAAAAAAAGCTAGCACATGGTGGTCAAACCAAAACATGGCCCCATCAATCAATGAAATCCATAACAGTTTAAGCCACATAGAGAGACATAGACATCCTGACTGATTGCCTTCCTCGGGATGGTATGAACTAATAAAGGCTGGAGACAATTGGAGATATCGCTAAAAGTTGTCGTTCTGGGTGGTGGCTGGTACAGATGCATTCATTCTTCGTGATGATTTACCATATTCAATAAAACTTTATCGTCCTTCCACATTACTATTCTTTTTCAATCACTCATACATCTGTTTATTATCTCTCTTTAGTCTCTTCTGTTGGTTTGTGTGCTACATGGAGGAAGTGTGACAATTGAAAATTGTCACAATTGTTGCACATCTGTGCAGTTCTTTGCTAAAATTAGTCAGTCCGTCAGTCAATCAGTCAGTCAAAATATGGTTTTCAAGGTATTTTTACAATCGATGAATTCAAACCCCACAATATACATTATACGGGATAAAACTGTCAAGTAGTTAAAGTTTCATCGATTTGTAATATTCTGGTCGACAGGCATTAGGATTCATGTGAAAAATGGGCTGAATCCATTTTATCTATCTAACTCACACCACTACCCTCTTCATTCAACAACTCTCCCCTTGTATCTCATTAGGCCAGACCAGAAGCCTATATAGAAAACTATTTATGCTCACACTAGCAAGTACAAAAACTCAACCATACCCTACTTAGCTCGTGTTCTGTGCGATAAAGAAAGCATTACGCGTGAAACCTATAACTTATACAAAATAGTCAGTAGAACAACTGGATCTCGTCTTTCCAACTCCTCATATAATTTATAGGTACAACGTTTTGTTTCTTTCTTTTCCTTTTCTTTTCTCTGTTATGTGCTGCTTCGTTTCTCTCTTCCTTGCAAACTCTACTTAAAACATTCTTGTTCGTTCTTTCACACTCTGGATATCTCGACCTTTTCGTTACTGCTTACGCCAGTAAATATGCTAGTAGTATCCACTTTTCTAACACCTTAAAAACATTCTGTTCAATTTTTGGCCTTGCTACCGACATGCCAATATGTTGTTCTCATAACTAACTGAGATTACCCTTAATCTATGTAGAATTTTATTTATTATTATTGTACTAATAGGATGCAATACTGTAGTAAAAAATGCCTCCAAAGCCTCAGGATGGTCGGGGGTGGGTGTCTTGCGCTGCGGGTTGGCCACCCCTCCGTACACCTCTTGAAATTCTCCCATATGACCGGGCGTCTTACATAGCCTCTCCTGAGGAAGTCCTACTCACTGCCTTCACGTGGCAGAAGTGTTTTTCACCAAAGTGAGAGGGCAAAAGCGGATGCCCGGCGCTCTTCACCGGGTTGACTGTGCATTGGATGACAGTCTAGGGGAGATGGCTAAACCCTGATTCCAAACCTCCAACGACTGGCGTATGAAGCTCACCGGCAGACGTATGGACAAAGGGCTTGTTGGATGTCCTGGATGTCTGGCCCCATTCAAAAAGGCGTATGAACCGAACTCCGGTCACCGGCTGGCAATGGATAGTGGACTCCTTACTCCACTCCTACTGCCTTGTAGGTCACACTTGGCTGTGTAAAGGCTAGAGCTGCACTCTCAAACAAAAGGCCGAGCGATGCTGGGGACATCACTCGTACCCAATTCCCATGAAACTTCATGGTTCATGAAGCCGGCTCATCCTCCCGTAGGAGATAGCCGAAGTAAAGTAAGTAAGTGTAGTAAAAATGCTGAGAATTCCAGTCATTATCACAAGTATTATTTTGAAATAAAGCAAATTATTATTATTATTAATTAGGCGGAACACACACATCAGTCAACGAAGAGATCACCTTCATTATGCAGTGTGTCAAATGACACCCAGAAGTCTTCAAAGGTTATTCTACTAAGTTAGTAATTAAAATTCAAATCTAATAATAAAAATATGTATGAAAAACAAAACAAACAGGTGAATGTATCCTACACAATTGAGAAGGTTAGAATGATGACTAATCCTTTCAAGGGAATTGGATAAGAAACAAGACAACGACAAAAGATTAAAAATGAGGTTACAAAAATTTAAAAAAAAATTTAAATAAAGTAAAATGATAAAGGAATACACATCACCATGGTTACTGTAAACCTGTCATTTATATCACACAACACAAAACCACAATATTCACACAAATTAATACATTAGGCTTAAGAAGACGTAGTTTATCTGAAACGTATAATGTATTGGCGCAACACATTTCGGACATTCTGATCACACACGTACTTGTCATACACAGTTTTTTATATAAGGCAAGAAGGCATGAATAATTACAATACAGGTCAGATTGTGTACAGGTCAAGGTCACAAAATAATGGGTAAGGAGACGCAAAAGCTGTGCGTAAGAAAGATAAAGGGAGGAAAAAAGGTAAAGAAAGGGTTTGAAAATATTATGAAGTAAAATTGGTCCTTGGTTCTAAGTTGGATTACTAAGGCAGGTTTAAGGTGATAACAAATAACTTTTAGACACATAAGACAGGTTTAAGTCTTTTTATGGCTAAGGCCTCAATGAATTTAAGTATGTGACCCAACCTTGTTTTATATATCGGCCTAAAGGCATTGTTGAAATCAACCTTATGATCCGTCTCTATAATATGCTTCGTTATAGATGATGTTGGACATCTATTTCCCGGGTCAATTGTATCTGGCGATTTCATTCAATCTGACCTGCATTGTAATTATTCATGCCTTCTTGCCTTATATAAAAAACTGTGTATGACAAGTACGTGTGTGATCAGAATGTCCGAAATGTGTTGCGCCAATACATTATACGTTTCAGATAAACTACGTCTTCTTATTGTTTTGTCAAAATTCATAAAGGGAACCAATTGCTTTAAACATTAGGCTTAGTAAATCACTTTGTCAAAAAGAAACCACTGTAACACTGCACCATGTATCCACGCATTTTACAGTGCACACAGGGTATTCCGTGGAAAATAAAAGTCGATGAGAAATACCAACAGCAACACCAGAAACAGACTTTTATATCGTGGAAAATACCCATCAAGACATTAGAGGGAAAAGAACAAGAAGTTTAGCAAAGATGTCAATCTTTTCCGGTGATTCTTTTTTCTCAAAATCAGATGTGCAATCGCATTTATTTACATGTCTTTACATGGATACAATTATTATTTATTTATTTCCACATAGTAACAAAGGTAATAACAATTTTCAACTTGATATGAAAGTTTGAGGGCGTGTGAATATAGATTACAAGGGGCTTAGAGACAAGATTCCATAGGATTAGAAAGCTGTTACAGCATGTACAAAATTAATATTCGATATCTGGTGACATTTCCTGCAACAACTCTAAGAGTGATATTCTCTAGCCGCCCACTACTTCGGAGCAACGGGAAGGACAGACTTCCGCATAAGACCACTTCAATGTGCACATATCAGTTCACCTGCCTGCTGCAAAGAGGAGGCACTGGTTCAATCAGTAGCGCAATAACTGAACACCTCATCAATCAATACGTGTCACAACATCTCAACTGACTCGTCAATCCGAGTCATTTACAAAGTAAACAAAAATCTACCGACAAAGGCAGTGTGTTTCCAACTACCTCGTACTGCGGAAGCTCTCGCTATATGCATCGAAAAGCCGGAGCTATGTGTTCATCAAAAGAAACTAATCCAGCCTTTACAACTACCATGGACCTAGTTCGGTATGTGCCCTGATCCTTCATTTTTTTCTCTCTTTTTTTTCTCCTTTTGTCTTCATTCAATTCACCTCACTTGTTTCAGTTATAAAATCAGTTATTTCAAGTTTGCTTCCATACACCTCCTGATCACACTTGTAGTAATCCGTTTAGAATAACCATTTTACAATTATCTTCTAATCCTGTGTAATTCTTTTTGTTTCTTTGCCTCTTGTAATCTATATTCACACACACCTCCTAACTTACATTTCAAGTTGAAAATTTTGATTTCAATTTGTTTCCATGTTCATTTTGTTCACATCTGTAATTCATTCTATCCCAGTGTTTCTAAGCCTCTTGTAATTCATATCAAGTTGCAAATAATTATCACCTTTTATTCGCATTTAAAATTATTATTTCTTCAGTTATCAAATATTAATTTTTGGATACGTTGTAGCTGTTTTCTAATCCTATGCAATCTTGTCTCTAAGCCCCTTATAATCTATATTCGTACCTTCAAACTTTCATATCAAGTTGAAAATTATTATCAAATTCGTTACTATGTGGAGTTAAATAAATAATAATTGTATCCATGTAAACTAATCTATATAAATGCGATTGTACAGCTGCTTTTGAGAATAAAATCACCGAAAAGACTTTTATATCCCCCTAATTGATATAACTCCTCTGCAGACAAGCGAAGTGACACATACACGACCAGGTCACATTTCGCATACCCTTAAACTAAGTTGGCTATCAATCAATGAAAACTGAGAAGCACTGGACAGCTGTTTCGTACTATTTTGGTAACTCTTCACCAGTGTGCCCCAACCATGACCTTCAGGTTAACTAAGCCAGCTAACTAGTCATTCATTTAATGATCTGAACCAGTCGTGACAAAATCTACATTAGAATTAATTCAAATCTCGGGGAAAACACTCATAATCTGAAAAATGACAAAACGTTTGCGCAAAACGAACATACTACTGATTGGCTGAAATAAGTAGTTGTAGACCACACCTCATATTAACCAGTAGTGATTGCTGGTTAGCTAGCCAGTCAGTCAGATAAAGGTGCTTTCAACACTATATGGTCGTTTCGCTTGTCTGCGGCCGAACTCACCAACGGTGCAGTGTATCCGCTTTGACACAGCTCAGGGAGTCCAATTATTTCATACTTCCCGATTTCTGGCGGACTGCTTGGACGAACTAGTCATACTATAATTCAAATTTTGAATTTGAAATTTGGTCACCGATTTGTATTGTACACAGTTTGAGCGGTGAAATGTCACCGTAGTTTCCGAAGTAAACTACATCCTAGAACAGCCTAACGATGTCGGTCAGATCGATGAGCATTTCAAATGGATGCTATGTGTAATCTTCGTTGCAAGTTTAACCGTAACACTAACTAGATAACTTGTAACGAAGATTATGGGAACATTCATGTCTTATGTTGGGCAATGTAATTCTTTATTTCAAGAGCATTTGACTACGGTATTGATTCTTTACGCTTGCTCCAACTTTATTCAGTCTACGAGCTTGCTTTGTAACCAGATGCATCTAGATTCGATCCCTAGTGGGGTCGACTGTGAGTGAGTAGTACTGTTGAAAATTTCCAAGCACTAAGATGAAACAACTGACTATCCAGTGTTCCCCGCTGGTTTTCAATGGTGCCCCAAATGACATTCAAACCGTGATGAAACATGGAACACACCAAATCCCCACAAAAAAACCATTTGAACATTCACCACTGTTATTGTCAACAGATATATACGGTTAATTCTGATTTTAACTTACCAGCCTTACACACTGTGTACAGAGTTATAAACAAACAAGATTTCGTAATAAAGAAATTAAAATTAATCAAAATGATAATAATAATTATTATTACTGTGGTGAGTGCTACTTATAGCCAGATATAAGTAGTATATCAGTAAACGAATTCAGAAAAGTAACACTATGTTTTGGGACACTGGAAAAAACCAATCGAAGAAGAGAAAAGAAGAGAACTGTGAGAAGAACGTTGGAAACGCTATGCAGAATCATCCAACAAGCTATCGAATGTGGTGATATTCAACCGATTTGCAAATGATGTGCATTGGTATACTAAATTTATGTACCTACAACGAGTTTGTACTAATAAACATCGCCTTCGAAACTCATCGGTCTTTTCTTCCTTACATTACTATTATTATAAAAACAATAAAACGTTACAAATAAAAATTCAATCAAATTCGTCGTTTACAATTTAATAGTGGCTGTATGGGGAGTGCGATCATTGGACATCTCGTCAACCACCATGGTCATTCCATCTCAACGGACTCCTCTTCCTTCAAAGTGGCCGAAAAAGTGAAGAATAACAACCTGCCAAAGGTAATACGCTTATGTCTTCTTGGTTGAATTGTCAAAGCTTTAGTCATTCAATTGGAGAAACCAGAGTTATGTATAGAAAAGAGAATCATCCAATCGCCTCTTATTCTACTATCATGGTAACAACCGTGTTGCCTTCTAGTGACTTGATGTTTGTGTGCCTGTTTTATTGAGGTTTTTTTCTAACTCCTTATAACATTGGTAATTTTTTAAAAACTCTTATATAACTCCATCCTAATCACAACTCACTCAAAAAAAACTATTCATCTTATTGCGTAATTGTATTACGCTTATTCACCTTCTTTTATGTGTTAATAAATATGTTTCTCAATGATATTAGATCGTTGGAGGCAAACGGCCACAGGAAGCCTTGGACACACCTAGGTGTCGTGCTAGTTGACACTCACCAGTCAGCAAGGCGTGTCTGCAACCACATTGAAGGAATTCATATCCGTTCCTTCTGAGATCCGAACCCGCGTCACCCAGTTAGTGTTGCAGTCAGAGACGTCGCCGCCACTGAGCTATTCGGGCTCGCGATTGACCTCTTGTATAGGACTGTAGTGGGTATTTTGATTTCACACTAGTTACTGGTGTCAAATAGAAGATAATTGAAGGAAGGAAATTATCTTTATCGCCGAAGTTATCTATCCTTTAAGGGTTGTACAATTGTGATTGAGGTAATGAGCAATAGGGTGTATGCGTGTGTGTGCGACATAATGGATACAATGACTCAGAAATTACGTAATCACTAAATTTCTATAGTTTGGTTTGTAAGGATTAGTTATGTTTTACGAGTTGATCACGGATTGATATCAGTTAGAGAACCATTGAAAACCAGGGAGTACTGGACAGCTGCTGTTTCATCCTAGTTTGGGAATCATCGGCAGTACGCACCCACTGGGTTTCGAACCCAGGACCTTCCGGTTACAAGGCAAGCTCGTATACCATTCAGCCACTGGAACCCGATTCAATGGCTCGTGAATTCTAACTTCTACTAATTCGTGATTTAGCGCGACCCCAACCAACGACAATGGTTTGGGTCGCGCTAAATCACGAATTAGTAGAAGTTAGAATTCACGAGCCATTGAATCGGGTTCCAGTGGCTGAATGGTATACGAGCTTGCCTTGTAACCGGAAGGTCCTGGGTTCGAAACCCAGTGGGTGCGTACTGCCGATGATTCCCAAACTAGGATGAAACAGCAGCTGTCCAGTACTCCCTGGTTTTCAATGGTTCTCTAACTGATATCAATCCGTGATCAACTCGTAAAACATAACTAATCCTTACAAACCAAACTATAGAAAGTTAATCTGATGCTCGCTAGTGACTTGCTACAGGTTGGAGTTTCCTGAGTTCTAGTGAGAAGTCGTGACCAGTGAGGTCCAATTAGATGTCACGTGTGTGGATGGATGTCCCACCAACGACAATGGTTGGGGTCGCGCTAAATCACGAATTAGTAGAAGTTAGAATTCACGAGCCATTGAATCGGGTTCCAGTGGCTGAATGGTATACGAGCTTGCCTTGTAACCGGAAGGTCCTGGGTTCGAAACCCAGTGGGTGCGTACTGCCGATGATTCCCAAACTAGGATGAAACAGCAGCTGTCCAGTACTCCCTGGTTTTCAATGGTTCTCTAACTGATATCAATCCGTGATCAACTCGTAAAACATAACTAATCCTTACAAACCAAACTATAGAAAGTTAATCTGATGCTCGCTAGTGACTTGCTACAGGTTGGAGTTTCCTGAGTTCTAGTGAGAAGTCGTGACCAGTGAGGTCCAATTAGATGTCACGTGTGTGGATGGATGTCCCACCAACGACAATGGTTGGGGTCGCGCTAAATCACGAATTAGTAGAAGTTAGAATTCACGAGCCATTGAATCGGGTTCCAGTGGCTGAATGGTATACGAGCTTGCCTTGTAACCGGAAGGTCCTGGGTTCGAAACCCAGTGGGTGCGTACTGCCGATGATTCCCAAACTAGGATGAAACAGCAGCTGTCCAGTACTCCCTGGTTTTCAATGGTTCTCTAACTGATATCAATCCGTGATCAACTCGTAAAACATAACTAATCCTTACAAACCAAACTATAGAAAGTTAATCTGATGCTCGCTAGTGACTTGCTACAGGTTGGAGTTTCCTGAGTTCTAGTGAGAAGTCGTGACCAGTGAGGTCCAATTAGATGTCACGTGTGTGGATGGATGTCCCACCAACGACAATGGTTGGGGTCGCGCTAAATCACGAATTAGTAGAAGTTAGAATTCACGAGCCATTGAATCGGGTTCCAGTGGCTGAATGGTATACGAGCTTGCCTTGTAACCGGAAGGTCCTGGGTTCGAAACCCAGTGGGTGCGTACTGCCGATGATTCCCAAACTAGGATGAAACAGCAGCTGTCCAGTACTCCCTGGTTTTCAATGGTTCTCTAACTGATATCAATCCGTGATCAACTCGTAAAACATAACTAATCCTTACAAACCAAACTATAGAAAGTTAATCTGATGCTCGCTAGTGACTTGCTACAGGTTGGAGTTTCCTGAGTTCTAGTGAGAAGTCGTGACCAGTGAGGTCCAATTAGATGTCACGTGTGTGGATGGATGTCCCACCAACGACAATGGTTGGGGTCGCGCTAAATCACGAATTAGTAGAAGTTAGAATTCACGAGCCATTGAATCGGGTTCCAGTGGCTGAATGGTATACGAGCTTGCCTTGTAACCGGAAGGTCCTGGGTTCGAAACCCAGTGGGTGCGTACTGCCGATGATTCCCAAACTAGGATGAAACAGCAGCTGTCCAGTACTCCCTGGTTTTCAATGGTTCTCTAACTGATATCAATCCGTGATCAACTCGTAAAACATAACTAATCCTTACAAACCAAACTATAGAAAGTTAATCTGATGCTCGCTAGTGACTTGCTACAGGTTGGAGTTTCCTGAGTTCTAGTGAGAAGTCGTGACCAGTGAGGTCCAATTAGATGTCACGTGTGTGGATGGATGTCCCACCAACGACAATGGTTGGGGTCGCGCTAAATCACGAATTAGTAGAAGTTAGAATTCACGAGCCATTGAATCGGGTTCCAGTGGCTGAATGGTATACGAGCTTGCCTTGTAACCGGAAGGTCCTGGGTTCGAAACCCAGTGGGTGCGTACTGCCGATGATTCCCAAACTAGGATGAAACAGCAGCTGTCCAGTACTCCCTGGTTTTCAATGGTTCTCTAACTGATATCAATCCGTGATCAACTCGTAAAACATAACTAATCCTTACAAACCAAAACTATAGAAAGTTAATCTGATGCTCGCTAGTGACTTGCTACAGGTTGGAGTTTCCTGAGTTCTAGTGAGAAGTCGTGACCAGTGAGGTTCAATTAGAATTCACGTGTGTGGATGGATGTCCCACCAACGACAATGGTTGGGGTCGCGCTAAATCACGAATTGGTAGAAGTTAGAATTCACGAGCCATTGAATCGGGTCCCAGTGGCTGAATGGTATACGAGCTTGCCTTGTAACCGGAAGGTCCTGGGTTCGAAACCCAGTGGGTGCGTACTGCCGATGATTCCCAAACTAGGATGAAACAGCAGCTGTCCAGTACTCCCTGGTTTTCAATGGTTCTCTAACTGATATCAATCCGTGATCAACTCGTAAAACATAACTAATCCTTACAAACCAAACTATAGAAAGTTAATCTGATGCTCGCTAGTGACTTGCTACAGGTTGGAGTTTCCTGAGTTCTAGTGAGAAGTCGTGACCAGTGAGGTTCAATTAGATGTCACGTGTGTGGATGGATGTCCCACCAACGACAATGGTTGGGGTCGCGCTAAATCACGAATTGGTAGAAGTTAGAATTCACGAGCCATTGAATCGGGTCCCAGTGGCTGAATGGTATACGAGCTTGCCTTGTAACCGGAAGGTCCTGGGTTCGAAACCCAGTGGGTGCGTACTGCCGATGATTCCCAAACTAGGATGAAACAGCAGCTGTCCAGTACTCCCTGGTTTTCAATGGTTCTCTAACTGATATCAATCCGTGATCAACTCGTAAAACATAACTAATCCTTACAAACCAAACTATAGAAAGTTAATCTGATGCTCGCTAGTGACTTGCTACAGGTTGGAGTTTCCTGAGTTCTAGTGAGAAGTCGTGACCAGTGAGGTCCAATTAGATGTCACGTGTGTGGATGGATGTCCCACCAACGACAATGGTTGGGGTCGCGCTAAATCACGAATTAGTAGAAGTTAGAATTCACGAGCCATTGAATCGGGTTCCAGTGGCTGAATGGTATACGAGCTTGCCTTGTAACCGGAAGGTCCTGGGTTCGAAACCCAGTGGGTGCGTACTGCCGATGATTCCCAAACTAGGATGAAACAGCAGCTGTCCAGTACTCCCTGGTTTTCAATGGTTCTCTAACTGATATCAATCCGTGATCAACTCGTAAAACATAACTAATCCTTACA